TAAAATATTAAACAATTTTTTAATAGCATTAAAATCCTTAATATATTATAGTAGAGATTTTTTGAAAACACCTCAATGATAAGAAAGCTTTTAAGTTTAAAACTAAAAAATATATATTTGAACCTGAATGACAGCAGCATAAGCTGGTTGTATACTAGCTTGATAGCTACAAGAATATGATTTCAAGGTACCGTCACGGTCCGTGAAAAAATATTGAAAATGATCAGCATCATAGAGAAGACTAACAGCTTCTGCCACTTCTTCTTTGAAAGCTCTTGACGATTTTGGATGATAAGCGTGTAATGTCTATAATTATGCATCAATTTCCCTTAATTTCTTCAATTTTATTCCTCAAATTCAACAACAAAACATATATTCATTAGAAAAAAATGAAAAATTTCGGCTTCGATTTAGACTGACAAGCAATTGCTTTTGTGCCACCGACAATTTTCTTTTAGAATTCTTATGCTTAGCAATTTATTTCAGTTTAATTATCATTTAAGAAACGATTTATTGTTTTTTTCCTTGAAATTATAATATGAAGATTAATGAATGCAACAAAAATAAACTAACATCAACAAACTGTTCGACATTATACACATTATCACTTCTGATAAACTTTAAAAAGGATAAATCCTTTTCGAATTCATCCAACTCATTCTTGATATCAAAGGTAGTATAATCCGCTGTGCTTTCTTCCGATGTTGTCCTCAGGTTAAGCATAGTTGTGTTCGCTTTACAACTTAGTTTCAATGAATCAAGCGCATTTTTCAGCGAAATAGCAAAATGACTTCGCATTGGGATACCTTTCAGGACACGTTCTACGATCTGACGTCTGATGTTACGCGTTTGTAGCATAATCGTATAGAAATCTTCCAACGTTTTCACCTGTTTTCGCAGTTTTTAGTAAAATATGCGAACTTTGAAAATTTCAACAATTTCAATAATTTCTGCATATATTTATATTTTGATCTTTTTAAAATTTAGTTGAATTTATTCCAATCAAAATTTTCAATTTTTTCAGTTTAAATTACTTTTATTTTTGAATATTAGTTTAGTCTTGTTTTGTAATACTTTAAACCACAAATTTAAAATCCCTTTTCTTAAGCTAAAATAAATAAAGGTATTTGCAAAGGCATAGCAGAAGTTAAGTAAAATGAATTACAGTAATGAATGAGTCATACAAAAGAAAGGAAAAAACTGAAAAGAAAGTATACTTCAATTGGCCTAATCACTTGATGGGTCCAAGATGGATCTAAGAAGGTTGCGCTCCACTTTTCAATATCGTGGGCCATGATGAAGTCATGTAATCGGGAGCTGTTGGCTCGACGGTCTGCTACATCTTGAATAGCAGCTTGATAAAATGTATCCGAATAGCCATCCAGATCATACAGATCAGTTACTCGTTTATAACACTGGTCGCCATTTTCCTGATAAAATCCTGCTCTCGAAAACTGCACTTCACTACCGGCACCTGATGATAGAATTAACCCCGCATTTGGATTACATAATAGCATCTCTTTTGCTACCTAAAAGATTGAAAAAGTAAAGTTTAATGTCTAATTCTGCAAAATAAACTAAGTTTTCAATTTAATGGAAATTAATTAACTAATTACTAATTGTTCACAGTTTTAAATTTAAATCAATTAAGATGAAAAATGTTTGCTTCTAACCAAATTCATGCCATCCTTTTTTGGTGTTACAACACCGATATCCATTGCTAAATAGCAAGCAATGAGTTCTTTTCGTGGTAATCCTTCCGTTTGAAAAATTAATGGTTTCCAATTTGGTCGGTTTGCACATGTACAGATTTTATTGATACCTTCAGCTAATAAAATGCATTCGTCTTGATACATACGATAAGTATCAACAGTTCGTCTATTTATTACCGCAATCTAAATTATTAAAGCTATGATATTTAATCTTTGCTTTCAATCTTAATTTCCCTTCATTCCCATTTTCTATTTTCATATACTCGTTAAAACTAACTTGATAGCCATATTTTCTTAAATCCATTTATTAAACCAAAAATTTATTTTAGAGAAAAAAATTAGATTAAAAATTTATATTAGAAAAAATTAATCTAATGTAATGTCCTATTCTACAGAAATCATAAAAATTATTTTACCTGATACAGTACATCTTTTCCAATTCTTTCCGGATATTTTTCAAAATAATTCTTATATGCCAATAATTTCTCTTTAATTCCTTTGGTATAATCAAATCGTTCGACAGAAAAAAATAATTTACCATCAGATGGCGCATCTGTTCCCATAATCTTTAACAAGTTTCACATACATTTAATTTTTTCATTCATTTTATGTAATGCAAAAAAAAAAGCAATTTTCACATTTAAAAGATTTTTCAAAAAGCACAACAAAATTTATGAAAACAAAAAAATATATTACAAAAAATTCATGATAATTACACGTTTTCGTATTTCTGAAGCTCTTTGCCAAGTTTCATTTAGTCGAACAAACTGTAAAAAGTCTTCATTCTTAATAGAAACTGGAAAAACTCCGAGTGAACAAGTCCATCCTTTATATGTTACAAAGCAAACATCAGTTGAACTTTCGTAATTAATCTCAGCACTTGGTAATTTGATATGGCACAATTCGATTAATTTATCACGATCACGATGAGTTTGAAATCCAACCTTTAACAATGAGCGCTGTCATCTCGTTTATCATTACATGAAACAGAAGGGTCGAGAAAAGGAATGAGTAATGATTATGAAATTATAAATACAAATTAAAGCTTTTATACAAAAGATTAAATTCGACATATAACTTTGAAAGTATTTTGAAATTTGTTTCATTTAGTTAGCATAATTTTATGAATAACATACTTTACTGAATTGCAATAAGCCCCGTAAAACGGCATATCCAACGAGAGCATATTTAGTGAAAAAATTTTCCGGTGGTTGAAATGGTATATGCAGGAAGAAACCAACCGGAAATACTTATTAAGTGAATGGTAAAATAGCACTTTAATTAGAACATTCGGTTTCATTGTCTCGAGAAAAATCATATTTCTTAGATCACTATGATTAAATAGTCGATTATTAACTTAAATGTACAAAATGTTCCCCAGCGTAAGATTATATAACTCTGCCAAGAAAATACAAGCAATCCTCGATATCATTATATTCCCATTAAATTAATACAAACAAATCTTTTTCTTATTTTGCGTGTAAATTATGTTATAAACAAGTAAAGGCAAAATATAAATTGACATTTAAAATTGAATAAAATCATTCGAAATTAGAAATAAAAAAGAACAAAAATGATTACTTCAAGATTTTCATCCAAACTTTGCATAATCATTCCAGTTAACATTAGATGATAATCATGAATCCAAATAAAATCCTATAATTTAATTTAAAATATAAATTTCGAAACTACATAATTTCAACAATAAAACAAGAAATTAATGGGTCTATGAAGAATGGTTGAATAAAAATCAGAGTTTGAATATGCTTATTTTAAGTTTCAGTTCTCTAAGTTTATAGATTATATAAAATAGCGCTGAAATTTTTGACAGTTTTTAATAGAATAAACATGGAAAGGTAGAAATAAGCATATACAATAATAATCACATTTTTATTCATTATTATTAATTGTAACTTTCTGGTAGCAGCATTAATCTTTGGCCGCTTGTGACGATTTTCAATTAAAAATATTAATTTTTATGTAAATTATTCGGATTATCAAATTTGTGATTATCTGTTATTCAAAAGAAAACAAATTTGTAGATTTCTACTTTTATAAATCATTCATTTAAAAACGAATTTTGTAATGTATTGGCTAATAACGGAAAAGTTCATTATCTTCTCAAAAAATTTAATATGGGCAAATTAAATTCGAAAATTTCTTTCGCAAAATGAGAAATATATTGACTAATTCAATTGAGATTAATTTAATTAAATCAAGTTTAAGTGTCGTCCAGTCTGATTATTTAATTTATACCCTATTAATTACATACCTGTGGTCGGCTATTTCGAACAGCATCGATAGCAAATTGATAATTTACTCGTACGTATGCATACCAGTGTTCACGCATTACCTTTAATAATTTCAGCTTTACATGTTTTATTTCCAAATAAGAAAACTAGTTTTAAATCAACAAAAATTTTTAAATTTACTGAAACGTCATCTAATTTAATTCTTCATGAAAATGTTCGCAGTATCCCATAAGGAAACGCTATTTTGTTTTATCCAAGCTTATAATAATATACCATACCTTTGCTTCATCATATTCCTTGACAACATATTCTTCTAAATTATGCAACGCAGGCCATAATAAGCCATTACTTATTCCACCGTAGTATACATTATAGTCATCTTCTTGCACAATTACAGGATTTAATTTATAATTACCTCGGTTATAATTATGCAACACGTCCAATAATGACATCTCTTCCCTCAAATATTCATTTTGCCATTTAAGAATGACAGATGCTTTCCTTTTTCTTCTTTTTTAAATTTAAAATGATTTCAGTATTTACCTGCCTTGTTGAATGTCCTGCTCCTTACTATTTGGTCCATCCGTGAGCACATGAAAGAGAACATCAGCATTTGCTTGTTTCAATAAAGGTAATCCTATAATTCTTTGCAAAATCTGATTAATTTTTACATATTTATTTCATCATTTAATATAATGTCGAACAGTTCAAATTTTAAGGAATTTTGATCTTAAAATTTCAATTAAACGTACCTAGGGTATTTGTTGTTGGATGAATATTTTGATTATAATGATCTCTACTTCTCCTGCAAAATTATAAATATAATCTGCAAAATAGAATTTTTTTCGTTCTTAAGCAATAATTTTTATTATAAAAGTGTTTTAGATCCTAAATTTTCGTATTCTTGTTTGGCACTTAAATGGTGTATTCTTTAAAAAGTTTTATGTTTTATTTAATTGTCGATACTATCAGATACTTTATTATTCCACAAAACTGTTTAATCTATCGTTCCACCTTCTTCCCACAGATGTCATTCGAATTTTAAAAGTATATAAATGATGAAACTGGATCATCGCGTCTACTTCCATCAAAAATTTAAAACAAAATTTGAGCCTCCTTTAAGCCATGAATATAATATTTCACTTCCAAGCTTCCAAATATATTAATTCAGCTTTATGAAATTAAGAAACTAATACTAATTTTTTCGGCCGTGTGAAAGACGAAATAAAAGGTCAACGAGCAAATTTTGGATTTTTTAAGAGCAAAATTTAAAGTTCTATTTGAAATTAATTAGATTTTTCAAAATCGAGTTCGTCACTCCTAAAAAAATTTAACTTACAAGATTTAAAAATTCGCAGTCTTTTTTTAATCTTTAGAATTGAATTTTTGTTTTTGCTTTTAATCATCCCTAGCAAGCATTTATGATAAATTATTTACTTCGGTTTTTTATGCAAATTCATTCCAAGATTGGCAAGCCAAACATTTTCTTTGTCTTTCGACATTACAGGATCTACTGCTGAAACTAGGCCACCGGAACCTTGCTTAATTTCCCATTCGCCCGTTTTTTCCCGTGTTAAGCTAACCGGTGGTGCGTTTGAAACGTTGATTACACGTTGCTGAAGAAATATTTAAAAAAAGAAACATAATGAAAAAGTATGATGAAATTTTCTCTGAATTAGTAATAATTCAAATGTGATCAAATTGAACAGTTCAAAAACGATGCTCCCTTTTATAGAACTTCAAAATAGTTTAAAAAGAGCTATTAGCTGAAAATTACGGTGTTTTTGAAATTAATACCTGAAAATGAGTACTAGCCAAGCCTCCACTTGCAATTACTTCCTTTGATACTTCTCGTGAATTCACACTACTCTCGGATGCACCGCGTGAAGTTGATCGACGTGATCTTCGTGGTTTCTCTGACACGAAATTTATATATACATATCGGTTTAAAAAGCAAAAAGAAGGCAACATAATAATGAATTTGAAATCAGTTAAAAGTAGTATATGATATGCAAGATATGCATTGATATTTATCGTTTGATCAGAAAACGATATAATCTGAATTAACAAACTGATTCAAGTAATAGTTTTCATGCTAAATAAAAACGAAAGTAATGAGATTAACAAGAGACATTTATGAAAATTTTTAAAAAACAAACCGCGTGAAGTACTTCGTGAACGGTCCGGAGTTATGCTACCACTTCTTTTTCCACTGGATTGAGAAGAGATGGACTCAGTGGAACTAAGCATATTGGATGATGAACCTTCTCGACTAATACTTAATCGTCGTTGCAAATGATGGAATTGCTCATCGAAACGTTTTGCATGAACTCCAAGTAAGGAATTACGAATACCTGGCACCGAAGAGTACAATTCCCTAAAAAATGACAAGCAGTTATAATTTTAGAAAATTATCAGATGACTGCGAAGTTTTAGATGAGAACGAATCAAAATTACAGGCTTATATTATATGCTTGTAAGTGATGTGATGATGTTGAATAATGATAGAATATATGCAAATAAATAATATTCCATTACTGAAAAACAAGTCTAAGCAATGTACTCTCTCAAATGCCTGGAAACTCACCGAACTGACTTAACTAACTCTGCAATTTTGAAAAATCATAACTATTAAAATTGTTTTACATATTTGTTTTATTATGCTAGTAAAAATTCAAATTTACGAACCTGAGTTTACTTTTTCCATTATTAACATCATACAGTGTTAAACTAAACAGTAGTGAATCACGAAATTTGGTACCGTAGGTTAGGTCAGAATTATAAATGTACGGTACTGCATATTGCCAAAACTGTACCGCATTATAACCAAGGGCATTGATGAATTGCTCAAAGGATAAATACCCGGCTGCTGATCGATACAGGCAATATTCAAGCACCGTTAGTAAACCCTGTAAAGATGATTATCCGCATCAACTTCTGAATTCAGATCTGATATCTTTTTTACTAAATTTAGCCATGTAGAAACTTCTTGCCTGAAAAGCGATTTCAGAATCAACGCCTCTCCGTTTCCAAGTTTGTGCCAGAACTTCAAGACCTAAATCTATCATTTGTTCCATATTTATCGTTTCATCGATCACGCAATCTAAGGCTTTCAGGGAATGCAACAGACTCTGCAAAATCCTTTGAAATAGGTGAAAATAATGAAGTAAATTTGAAGATGAGCAGTTTGATATAATTGATAATTTCGCCTATCGATATGACTAATAGAGTAATTAAATCTATAACGTAGCATTTCGAATTATTTAAAAAATGAATGCATGATTGTATTTAATGTACAGTAACGTTATATCATTGGATGCTGTAACACCGTTACCAATGCATATTTTTTTAAAGACTTTCTTTTTTTGTAACATTTTTTTTTCTATGTTTGTGATTGAGCTCTCTGTTCATTAAAAATGTTCATTAGTCATAATTTTTTTCAGAAATTGATGAGAGCTTTAGGTTTATTTTTTTAATTTGCAAATTGAGACTTTAACATTTCCATTGAAATTTGAAAAAAATATGGAACACTTACATATTTTATATGGCTTTCATTGAATTTAACAGCTCCTCGGGTTTTACGGTTAAAAGGCTGATTGTATAGCTTTTCCAATAACTCATCCACTTTCTCTTCATTACTCTCTGAAAGGCAAGAAGAATTTAAATGTTTCATAAAATTTGGCTCACACTGTTAAACCAACAGTAACAGCAAAGATATGAAATTGATGGCCAAAATAATACTGCTATACAGCTTTATCTTACCTTTCGTGTTCTCCGGTTGCTTGTAATTGTCATTATTGTCATTAGCCATTTTCAACCTGAAATTCATTATACAAATAGCACACTGAATCGCCTGACCTTAGTCATATTTGAATTAATTGATAAATTATGGTCGAACTCAATTTAATTAAACATGCATGAACAGATTTAGCGCAATCAGATCAATTAAAACAAATAAAATAAAATCATCTATGGAATACCTGTCGATCAAAAATATTATTCAACCATCGATAAACAAAAATAATTATTTTAAATTCTATTTTTTATGATTTTTGCTAGAATTATCCACAAGTCTGCGCACCTTTAAAGTCTGCTTATTCTAATGTAAATTATTGCTTCCAACTGGTTTACTGGCAACATAGAACGGTTAATTAAGTGAAAGAAATTAGAAATGTTCAAAAACAAATTTCTATTTTGGGAGGGCGCTGAACAGAATTATGCGACGTTATCGATGATGAAAAAAACGAAATACTTTTACTTTTCCCATGTGTTTCTCTTTACTCCCTTTAACTTTTTCTTTTTTTGTTTTTTGGAAAAAAAACTTTTTGCTATTTTAAAATTTTGGAGGAAAACTTTCGCTATTCAATGAAAGAAAAGAAATATATCAAATCTTTTCAACTATTTGCTCGATTTTTCTGCCCTTTGTTTTAGCTAACTCAGACAATTTTTCGTTCCCAATTGCAATAACACTCAGAAAGACCAAAAATATAACAATAAATTATGATAGTATGATATTACTTTTGCTATTATGCATAAGCTGCTACTCTATCAATAAAATATTACATATAAAAATGACGGAATAATAATAATAAAACGATTAGTGAAAATAAAACGAATGAAAAAAAATTTTGCTGTTTTAAAATGCTCAGGGAAAAATTCTTTTCCAAGTTTTTTACTTCTATTTAAAATCCTCATTTTTCTCAGGTAACCATATTTTTTTGTTCTTCTAGCGGATTAATAATAAAATGTCATCTTTAGTTTTAGAGGTAATGCTATTATAAAGCTTATTTGGCTCAGCTCAGGTATTTTTTTGTCCTTTCAGCTTTTCGTTCAACCTCCATACTTTATTCTGTAATCTTTCTGCCTTTCTTCTACATTTTTTATCGCTATAAGGAACTTACTGTCACCGTCACGTCAGTTTCCATCTATCCATGCTTAATTTCTCATTCTGTTTAAAAGAAGCCAGTACAAAATTTAAAGTTCAACGCTTTTGACTTACAGTAAATTTTCTTTATTATTACTGCAAAACTTGACAAAGTTTACATCTTTCATTTAGTGTATATCATATGTACCTAATAGAAATCTTGAAAATTTTTCGACATAAATAGAATTTGAAAAGAATAAATAAAATTCAAAATTTTGAAAATAAAGTTATTTAGTCGATATAAATAGCCGAGGATAGTTACAGGAAAATCACAATAAATGAATAAAAATGGAGTGCAAAAAAAGTCGGCATTTTTTGAAGAATTTTCATTACAAAGATTGAAAAGAAAGGGAGAAATGAGGGAGCAAGAACAAGCCATTGAGATCAGTCATTGCAAAACAACTTCGCAAATGAGTAAGAAGATAATTAAGTGAGTAAGGAAGACAAATGAAGCAATTACTAAAATTAGTTGAATTAGCTACATAGTTGAAGACGCTATGAACGATGGTTAAAAAAGTAAGATATATAAATGATAAAATTAAATTCAATGCATAGTATAGAAATAATTAACGTAAATGAGTGAACAAAGAAAATGGAAATAGTTTATTTAATGGAGAAAGATATAAATAATAATTCATTTACTAAGAATTTATTTAGTTAATTTATTTATTTATTGGCAAACAATAATTTATTAATAATTTATTTATTGATAAACAATATTTTGAAGCAAATTTGAACAATAATTCAAGATTATAAATAAGTGATTCGAAATCGAAATTAATCAATTAGTTAAGAATGTTCGAATTTCAGGAAAATATTTATTACGATTTTTAAGTTTTTAATTAATTTACTATTTCTTATGAGTTCAAAATACAAAGGGCCAAAAATTTTACAAAGCCAAATTTTGAAAATATTGAAAATCGCATAACGGTAAGTAAATTGAGCTTTAAAGAAAAAATAATGCAAACAGAAACGAACAAGAAAATAAGAAAAAAGTTGACAATAATCTATTTTTCCTAGCGCATCAAAGTTCTTTTTGAAATAACTTTGAGCTTGACGATAGTGTTGATAGAGATAAATCATTTCATCTAATTATATTTCACTCTTCGCCTCTTATCTTTGTCTGACTTAACATCAATCCATTCATTGCAACAACTTCTCAAATTTTCATTAAACAATTGACAGCAAATAAATAGAAAGAGAGAAAAAAAGGAAAAACAAAGAAATAGAAAGAGAGAAACAAAGGAAAAACAAAGATTGTAAAAAGAAAAAAATTAATTAATGATGTTTTTTCGATATTGGCGTCTTTCACAGTTGTATCGTTCCAGTAAATCTTTTGGATAACAAGTTTAAAGAATGTTTAGTTTAAAATTGATAAACATGCGTTGCTAACAAATAATGAGATTTTCAATGAGAGCTTAGTGAAAAGACTAAAATTTTCGAAGTAAATAGATTAAATGTTACATGAAACTTATGAAAAAGATGATTGCAAATTTTAAAAACTAATAAGATGAAATGAAATATTTATTGCATTGGGAAAGGAAAAGCATAAAGAATTTTACTAAATAAAATTTCTCTGATAATTTAATGATTTTTTAATTGAAATGACAAGATTATGTTAAAAGTTTCTAGTAGAAAAATGAAAAAAAATGACCATGAAATATTTGATTCTTTTCTTCCCGAGTGATAAGAGAAAACAAATGAAATGGAAATGTTGGGAAAATAATTGCGAACGATTATTTTTTAATAGTAAGATCAAAAAAAATAAATAAATATCAAACAACTGACACTATAAAAAATGCAACCAACTGTTTCACAAACAGGGCAATCGAATGATTTCAAGAAAAGTAACGATTAAACAACCGCTTTTCTCAAAATATATAAAATGAACTGACATACAGCTATCAATTTCCTTATATTTATATGACAGTAATTAGTTTTATGAATGAATTGAAATTTTGCAAAACCTTTTGTTTGCTAAATTAGAAGAATATTAAAATTTAAGATATAGAAAGAAAATCATTTTAATTGTATTAGTTATGTCACTGACTTTAAGAAAAGAGCTAACTCTAGTTAGCAAAAGAAGAAAAATAGAAAAATACTGAAACTCGTACTGCTCGAGTGAAAATGAAACTTAAATAAGGTTGAAATAAAAATGCATTAGTTTTTAAAATTATCATACCTTTAAGAAAAAAGGAGAAATTTATTTGATTTTAAAATTCACCTCCTTCAATTTTTCAACACAATATTCGCAATTCTTAACAATTATAAATAAGTTATAGATTTAAAAAAAAAAGAAGAAGAGACATATACTTTTTCTTGTCATTCCAAAGTTTAATTCATAAAATCAAACTAAGAAGTGATGGCTTAGAAATAAGTCTGAGGTTTTCTCACTAAAAATTGTCTTAAGTTTAATTCCTAAAAACGCATGAGTATGCATAAGCATGGAAAAAAAGATAAAAAGTCTCAAGCCTCTTTACTACTTAAATGTATCCTAAGCAAAAAAATCGGAGATTATTTGAGAAAATAAGTATTGGATTTCCTTATGCTTCAAAACATAATATTTTGCTGCAAATTTATGAGCAGCAATAAAAGAAATAATTGCACAAAAAAATTATTTCTATAATGAATTCTTTACCATTAAAAAGCAAAATTAACAATTTTGATGATTCGAATCAGACTTATGCATTGCTTTTGCAATGCACGCGCGTCATATGCGTGTACACTTGGAAATAGAAGTTCAACAAAGCTTAGCTACGCATACATTAACGAATTATTAGCGAGAAATGGTCAATAAGTAGGTTTAATCCTCATTGAGAGTTTCATTTTAAAATCATAAATTTGGTGCCGCAAAAACGCAATAATACGAATAAATATAAAAAGTTTGAAAAAGGAAAAGAAAAATAATTTGCTGGTACGGACTGAAATTTAGTCGTTTGACATTCAAAGCGAATTTATTAAAATAAAAAACAGTAAGAAGAGATACATTCTTTTATGGAATTTAAAGAAAACATAAAGAAAAAAAGTAACACAAATATTTGAGCATAACAAAATAAAGAGAATAAAGCAGTGCTTACAGCTTTTTGTTCCAAGTTAGTAAGCACTGCAACACCAAAATCGTGACAATTTGGCCGATCCGTATAAGGCCTGGTAGTTTGACTTGCTTTCCTGAGCCAAATGATTCCTGATGGAGTTCCTCCCTCCAATACGTCACTTTGATGGTCGGAGCAGTTCCAATTCGACAAATATTTTTATTGTGAATGCTTTTGACCAAGAAAAGGATTAATGAGAGGAGTGAAGGTGGGAGGGGGTCAGGGCCTTTCAGGCTTTCTTAAGACAGGAAGAATAAGCCGTTCAGAAATCTGTAGACCATTATGTGTTTGATTCTAAATAAGTTTCGGATTACCTTCCACCTTCCGCTCCTCTCCTCCCTCCCTCATTGAAATTGCTTTTGCCGATATTTTGATTTGTCTCATCCGTTCAGGGCTTTTCGCAGCTTTTCTACCTTGTTTCTTCTTTTTTTCATGTTTGTTTGGCATAAATTTTCATAATGGTGACTGATTTTATAATATTTAAAGTAGTTCAATTAGTGCTTGAACAGTTTCGCCGTGTTTCAGTTACTTCTTCTAGGTTTTTTAATTAACAGTTAAATATGTGCTTCTAGTTAACCTGTTGAGTACCAATCTCGCAGTTACATAGCGAGATGTTATCAGATAATTGAGTGCAGATTATCAGGAACAGGGAATTAAAGGGTATTTGAAATGCTCCCCGAAATAGGGAAGACTATAAATTTTGAATCAATTTATTGTGTAATATTTATTTCTCTGAACTTTTAAATTAGTTTTAGTGTTTGTAAATTTTGATAAGTAATTTTATGAATATTTGTGGCATATTTTCAGAAAATCAAGAAAATAAAGGAGGTTTTGTGGTGATCATGTTAACGATCTACCAATGCAGTAAGGACTGTCAAGGTATTTTTGAAGAAAACCAACTAGAAAATTTTGAATTAAAATAAACAAGTTGCATAAACAAGAAACGATGGAAAAAAAAACTCTCAAACAAGTTATTTGATTTAAATGTGACTGATAAGTGATATTAGTCGTTACACTCAGGAGTCCCCACACTTTCTCTCTGCTCTTCATCTAAATAATTGATGGATGAGTTTCATCACTAATTCGTGATCTTCACTTCATTAGAGTCTTTTTCAGGCAGCATTTCTATGATATAAAGCACAATCCAAGCCCAGAAAATTTGTTTTCGAAATTGTTCTCGGTAGTCTTTATTAAACGTATATGAAGTTTGAATTTATTGCATAGATGAAATATAAATTTATAATCAATAAACCAATTCCATCAAAAGGAAAACGACACGATTTGTTCACTTTCCAAAGCCAACAGTTAAAATTGGTTTAACATGCTGTTTCCGTTTACAAAGTACGTATTTGAAACATCGAATTGCAACATGCCGAAAATCCCTTTGACGATATATAAAGAGCACAACCATGTTGAGGGAATTCAGTATACGCAAATGCACGCAGCAGATCACAATGATTTGCGACACGATGAAAGGATCCTCTTCGTAAATATTTTCCAGTACTGACGGTGCCACCACAAGAACTGTAGAAATAAGAACAATAGATTGAAAAGCAAAAGTAGTAAATTATTTACAAAATCCACTTTACAAAAAATATGGAAAAGGTCAGTAAATCAAATTTATATTCTAAAATTACAATGAATAGAAATGTTTCATGTCACAGAGTAAATTAGTCTTTATCAGAAATGTTCACAGAAATTCAAGTGAAGAAACGTACAAAATGTAAGAGAACAAGAGATTATCGCCGTTTGAGTGTATCGCTTTTGATTATCGAGAAAATGTGACAAATCGCGGTTATACGAATGACTTGAAAGAAACTGCGCACCAAACTTCCTGACAGTAATAGTAACATAAGTAAAATTTCATTTATTTTCAAAATCAACTTTATTATCTTCTGCGTGAATTAAGCAGAAGACAATAAAGTTGATTCTGAAAACCAAATAAATGCTATCAAAGTAGATATGCAACGTGTTTGTTGCCATTTCTTATCTGAAGAAATATATATCATAATTCTGGCATTGTTTCACTTTAATTATTTCACTCCTAATCTGTTGCTGTGTTGGTAAATGGTCAGGTTGCAATCGATTTATGGTATTGTCTGACAGTTCTATTATTAAGCAGTCCAAAGCTTGAGTACATTGAATTCAGCCTTGCTCAAGAAACAAAAGGATTGGACATCGTACCGTGTATTCATCTCTGTCAATAAATGATATAATTTTTAAAGTCATACTTTTTCAGGATCACAACAACAACCACCATAATGACAACACTCATCAATGAAGCCAAAGAAGACAGCAATATTAATGCTTTAAAAAAGTGATGTGAATACACCTCTTGTATCCTGCAACAATTATCTTTTTGTCAATTTTAAAAGTGAAAATAAAATTATTTCAATACAAATTTTCAGCAGCTTAGATAATAAAAGCTACAGTTGGAAACAAAATGTCCAAAACAGTAAATTTACTTATTGAACTTACATGCAAAAGTTAGATATGCGTCGAGATGGCTCAATTAAACTTGCAACTGCCGTAACAGTTATTGCAATGATTGTAATTGTATATTGTATGACAATTAATGCATAATTTATTCGTATACTGTTAGTATAATAATATATTGGTAATGCGACGACACAAAGCCTTTCAACGCTGTTTATCAACAAACTCACTCCGTTCAGAAAATAGGTTGAGAAAAGAAGGATTGGCATCTGAAATTTTCCTTGTTAAATTCACAGCAATTTTTTATCGATTTAAGCAATTATCATTTGTTTGTTCTTTTGAGGGACACGAGATGAAAGTTCTTAGAGATATGTCATGGATATATTAAAATTCCATAGCACTTCATGTTTTTTTTCTAAAAATTTATGGTTATAGTTTAATTTAATTTAATGGGACATTATTAAATGCAAATGATTGACATCATGTTTTTCAAAAAGCAAACGAACATTGAGCACACATTCATGGTGATCGATGAAATCTTCCCCGTCAGCTACATCGAGCAAACGTTTCGTACCCAACAGTATGGCACTGATTCCCGTTAAGCCGCTGTTCAAGAAAAGAATAGCGAGAACGAAGTAGGAGCCTCTGAAACACTCATCACCATTCATATTGCGCCACACCTCACCACACCTTATGAGATAACCCACTCACCTCAGTGTCTTATTATTCATCACCACTACAAAGACGGGAAAGTTAACCAACGTGATCAGTATGCCGATAACAATATAAACGTATGTATGAAAAATATAGTTCACGACTGTTGTCGATGGCAGCAGTTCGTTTGCAGTCACATTCACACTTTCAACGGTTGTTTCGTTAATAGCAATAGCCATTAATATGGAAAAGTAAGGTAGACTGGTAGTTCTTAAATGATTGATAGAAACGAGGCAAGGAATGCTTTTTGAAATAGGTTTGAAGCTTCTCGACAAGTTTTCGCACTTAAAATTGCTTTATCGACCGCCCCCTCAATCAAAGTATTTCTAAATTGCAGCGAATGAACTTGGCATATTTATAACATGGTGTTCAATGTACACATTTCCTTGTGATTATTGAAATGTGCGGAGTTAGATATTTAAACTAAGGGACATTTTGATTTGACAGCTATTCCATGTAAATAATTTGGAAAGCAAAGTCAATGGAAAAAGTATTGAGAATATTTATTGAATTACAGCAACATTTAAGAGCAATGGCGATCCGAAATCAAAAAATAGGTCTATGAATTGAAGGCCTGTATATAGAAAATTCGATGTGGCTTATTATTTTTTGATAACTGCTAATTTTAAATACTTCAGTTATGTGATATAATTAGATTTGCAATCCAACTAATTATTGCTATATTCTTCGTGCAAAAGAGAAATTGTTGTTTAACTTCGTTAACAATTTATTCACTGTCGTACGTCATCAAAATATCATTTACTAACTGCTTCAGGTGGCTCAAATATTAGTCAGATATAAAAAACTTAGCAAATGACAACAATTATATTATACATGATTTTATTCTCAGCCATGATTTTACAGAATATTTCATTTCCGGAATCTAATAATTGCTTCACATTGAACATGCAACTGTTTCTTATTAGAAAGCAAAGTTATTAAAGCAAACAGTAATACATAGAAATTTTGATGCATTTTCTTCACTTTTACCAATTTTTAATTTTCAAAGTGTTAATTTCTAATTTATGCATAATTAGACAAATATTTCAAAGCAACTAATTATGTTAGTACTACTCATTCGAAAAGGAAGCATAGGTGATGTTTTGTTGATTTAAATTCGTTAACAATTTATGTATATTTTCACTGAACTGTGTTACGTTAAAAAATGTTATCATAACTGACGGTGATAATGTCATGCGTGATTTTATTTTTGATTATTTTAAGTAGTTTTATCACGGCAATATTTTATTTCGAAATTTTTTAACTTCTTAACACAGAATATACAGTCGCCTTCTATGAAATATTAAAATTGATGCTGGAAAGAAATCATAAAATATTGTTATCAGACATCCGAAGTGCGCTTCTTGGATGATGACAGAGAACTTCAGTGACTGTGGTGAGGTTGAACAAGACATATGTGTAAACAAATTTCTGATGATTCCATGTGATTTTCAGTGAAGTTGAAGACAATCAGCAATTAGCTCAACATAAACAACGAGAAAAATTTATAATGTTTAGAGAACAAAAAATTCTGTTCAATAAATGGTATAAATTTTGTCGTAATTGAAAAAAATTTTCATGTTGCTATTGATAAACTGTTGTTGTTTACATCAGCTCCTAAATTCTCAATCAACATTGTTTTTTTTTAACTATTTCATTAAATAGTTAAAAAGTAGCGTGCTCACAGATTACGCATTTCCTCGTTGACAGTTCACCACACATTCCACCACAAATATTCAGATCGCAATCCTTCAGTGTTTTTGATTTTATTGTGAACTTGAAGTTGACGTGCATACTGATTTTTTGGTAAGATTGATAACATCACATGAATAGTGACTGAGATATTACGGCGAATGAGAAAAACAATTTTGCTGCAAATCCTGTCAAGCTACTTTCAAATCCTTTTTCTTTCCTTTTGGAACCTTACCTTTCATTCTGTAGGAAATGCAACTCCTCTTGACAGTAACTATCTCTTCCAGTTTTTCCAATTTTCAGTTAAACCGTTATTCCGGAAAATTCGCATCAATTTATAAAAATCAAAAACTTTTTTGTTTTCTCCTTTAAACAACCAACCTTTTAGAAATCTCCGCTATAGGAATCTATAATAGGATCCCATTTATCTCATAAATAAAGTCAATTTGAGAATCTAGATTTTAGAACTTATAATGAATATTCAGAAGGTACGCACAAACAGATTTAGAATGTTAAATTGTATACAGCAGGCTATGTGATAGGTGAGAACAGAAAAGTACTGATAACAATGTTCCAAAGTACTGATAGCAATAAATAATTTTGGTTATATTGCTTTGATAATTGGTGTGAATAGTTTAGATTTATCTAGATGACGACCAGAAAATATTTTGAGCACCAAGAATTGAGAATTATTTCATAGCAACAAAGAGAAGGAAGAGAGACATATATATCCAAGTAGGCAAAATACAATACGAGAGACATACAAAGATAGGGAAATGCTCTTTTACTTCTCATATTAGCCTCGCAAAACACGTCATTTAATCGACATTATATCTTAAAAAAATACAAAAGATAAATTTTTTAGTGGGTGACGCAAATTAAATGCGTAGTTCAGCACTCATTTTTATCCAATCATTTTGCAGTCGCTATCATTGAGAAGTGACGATTGCATTTTATTGATATTAAGAGAGATATGCTAGCTATATTATACAGTCTTACATATTCTCGAGAATCTAATTTTGCTTCAAGAAACAACTCTTCATCATCTTTTCACCCACTATTCTTGACACAGTAAGAATTTTTGATTAGAATTTGAGACCGAATGATCAATATCACAGCAAAATAATCGACAACATGCCACAATCACTTTCTTCAATAGAAACAAATTGTATGCAGGATGTTTCGCCGACTGTTATTCTGTTCAAATTCTGTTAACACTTCATCAATTTCATTATCCAAATCTTCACAAGCTTCTAACTGAAATGCCACGCGCAATATGAGATGCGTATGTAATTTAAATATTTAAAAAACATTTCTTGTCAGATTTCGAAGAAAAATCAATTTCAATATTTTTTGCAAATTTTATTTCTGAATTATCTGCATTTAAGTCATTTCACTGTTGATTCCAACTAAAGTTGATGTGCAACGCTTAAATATTTCGAAACAAAAACTATTAATCAATGATCTTCAAAACAGTTTCTAAACTTGGCATTTGAGGCACACTTACATTCTACTACAGACTTCTTTAAAAGCCAGAAAATAGCGATAACAGTATACTAGAATATGAAACAATGCTTAGGAATTTGCTACTGTCCATAACAATACTTAGAACAAAAGTAAAAAAAATAACATAATTTTCTAAAAACAAACCTTGGCACATAAATCGCAAACAAATAAAGCTCCTATTGTAGCTTCTTCATGGTTATCCTGTATATCGATATTGATGACATGAACGCTATCTCCTTCATTTGTATCTCGCGTCTGTAAATCATCCACTATCTAAAACGTAAATAAGTACAAAGCAGTTATTGAGTTATACAAATAAAATTTAAATACTAATTCAATGACTAACGAAATTATTTTGTAACATGAAACTGGACTTTACAATATAGAATAATGTGAATGTTCTTTGAATTACTTAAAGTATATTGCTATTTAAATGAATTGTAATAATAACTGCTTTCATCATTTTTTTAGCCAGGATAAACAAAACTACGCGGAATATAATGCCGCTCTGGTCAGCATATGGCCCAATGCCCTTATCTTTCAAGGGAAATTCGTGGTACCAGAAACTGTTCATTACAATTCATCCCATAGGCCGTGATAATTCAAACTACTTTGTCTAATATCGCTATTCGAGATATCACTTCCTTCTCAATTGCAACTTTCTTAATATGCTTTCCTAATGTTACACAAATAAAGGTTATCCAACACTTATCCGCATAACGTTAGGTAAGCATTTTTTTGTAGGCATCCTAGACCTCTTTCATGTCTGACTTCAAGTAGAGTCAGGCATTTAAATCAATTATCACAAGTCAATCACATATTGATATGAAACAAATCCCACCTGATCATATACTCTCTCTTCTAAGCATATTATTACATCAAATTTTCCGTTGAAATGTTGAAATTTCTGCGGCATGTCTTTTATCCTACGATTGCGATCTAACATATTTAATAAACCATTCTGTGTATACCTGAAAATATTTATTAAGATAGAATAAAATATTAAAAAAATAAAACACGATAAGAAAAGATACATTCTTTTATAGAATTTGAACATAACATGAAGAAAAAACAAATATATAAGAAAGCATAACAAAATTAAGAGAATAAAACAGCGCTTACAGCTGAGGATCTTTTTGTTTCAAGTCATTATATATAAAATCGTATGTGGCGACACCAAAATCATAGCAATTTGGCCGATCTGGTGTGGGACCTGGTAACTTGACTTGACTGCCTGAACCAAATGATTCTACATTGAAGCCTCTCTTCCTGAAAAACTTGATAAAATAACACAATTTTCATATATAAATCACTTTTCTCTCCAATATATCACTGCGACGACTATAAAAATATGACCAAAACAATGTGATTCTTCGCCATTTTTTATTCTGAATTTGCAGTCTGTAAATACTGTATAAACAAGAGTAATAAATCGTTTTTGCTGAATGAAAAACACAAAAATTCTTCAGTGGACAAGTTGTTATCATTATGATGAAAACTAAAAAAATTGCTTAGGTTTTAATTTCAAAGGTTAAAGAATCTTAAGACTATTTAAAAACCGATTAATTACTCACGAAGGATTAATAAAAGATTATTCATATAGGATAATTGCCACTTTGTAGTATAACATTAGAAGTGAATACTTAACCTTACGATAAAAGTGCTCTTTATTTCTGATAGTGATGAATGAAACAAGAAATAAATAAGAACTCGAACCAACTAGTAGACTGAATATGGACTACTTAAAAATCTGTCAAAAAAAATTAGCCATACTTACACCGGATGCAGCACTATTACGCTGAGAGAGTTTCATCTTTTAATTATCTTTGAACAAGTACCGGAAATCATGATGCAATCGAATCGTGCTTGCACTACATCAGTGATGCCATTTTGAAGTGAAAGAGTAACATAAATTTCAACAATTATACATTAAATTCAACGACGACCAAAAAGTAAATAGTTAATTAAAACTTACTGCAGGAAACTGTGAGCCTCCATACTCCTGTTCATGTTGCTCGAGCAACTTACGGCAAAACGTAATTTTCCCATGCCCACCACTACATAATATTGCCCTCGATGACCCAACCTCGAGATATGCCAGTATAACAATGTACGTGACTTTGATGGCACGGAATCTTGAACAGAACTGCTGGAATTGAAATTATTTTTTTGTTCAACAAAATATCTGAAGGCTTCTCCATTTCTTGCATTTCAAATGATAAAGGAACATTTTCAATGAAAAACCATCGCAGATATTTTTATTCGGTGTATTGAACACAAAAAAATGGCTTCAATACAATTTTATACAAATTCAACATCATTACATTAAAGAAAGAGAAAGATGAAAATCGAAATATGAAAATGCTGTAGTAATTTGATAACATCGGAATTTATCAAACAGCAAAATTATATGACTCAGTCACATATTCAAGGAAGAGAAAGAAGAGAGTAACGTAATAAGTGAGAGATGACAGACACAATGCAATAAATCAAGAAGGAAAAGAAAAGAAGATTATGTCAATGATTAAGAGATAGAAACAACGGTATTCAAGTAATCACTGTAAGACAAGTTCAACCAGATGTAGCGCTTTTTCATAACTTTCATTTACTTGGTCGTTATTGATAGCTTCCTATTGAACAGTGGCATTAACTTTAAAAGATAAGTGGAAAGTAAGTCGAAATTATTATTCAGAAGTCAGAAATGCTGGATTATTTATTCCTCAAACTTTCTTTTTCCAAGCTCCAGTTTCTAATTTTAATTACGATTAATATATGCGAAATCTCTAATGTCATTAAAGTTTGGCTTAGTATTTAAAGTTATTGCAAATTGAAATATCTAAAATTGGTGCAATATATATGATCCACCTCAACATAACACATTTTAATTTCAACACTAATGTGCTTAAACACCTAATTTGAAATTCGGTCAACTGTCAATGCGTGTGATTTGATTAAATCTCTAAGTTGAAAATTCAATATACGTTGGTAAGCAATGAAATTTTAGTGTTCAATGTATTATATCCTAGCATTACTCTATCTGTACTATTTTATAATTTCTTATCAAAAATTGAATGCCGCCGGTATTAGTACTAAAATTTGGTATAAGTAAAATTTTGGTATAAGTTTAGATAATTTACATGTACTTTGTATAAGTTTTACATTAATAAGCGGGCGATAAATAGTTATTGCCTTGCACATAATTTCTTATTTTATAGCAATTTGTTCGAATCAACTGGTCGTTTGATTAAGTGTATGATAAAAATTTTTTTTGATTCATTCATTGGTAATATTCATATTTCATGCTGACTTGGCAACGACAAATATATTTTGGGGCACCCAAAGTTCGAATGCCTAACATAATATATACCTATACACTTTGTCCAGAAGGACGGGTAAGTTGAGGACATGCACATTTCGTTTTGTATCGTCTATTTATTGGAAAATAACGGTGATATAATTAAACTTTATCAATATGAAATTACAATGTAATTTGTAGTATATTTATATTGTTGGCGCAAATATTTGTATTCGCACATCGATTAATGTTGAAATAACCCAAAAATTGGCGCTGTGGATTTTTGATTGTGCTAAATTAAACGTATGTGCATTTATGATTATTGCAACTCATTTGATAGATGTGTAAGAGCAGGAAAATAATGAAGTGTGCATTATTGTTAACGTATTTAATGGTGCTGTGTTTAGAACCATTGAAATTAATATGTACTAAAAAGGTAAAATTCAACACTATCAATTGTTTTTTGATGGAAAAGAAAAAAAGAATGATTCAAATAATCAGAAGATTGTCAGAAAGTGAAGATAATTTATGATATAATTATATGCAGTTGACAGCGATAAGTATGGTAGTAAATTTTAGAAATTGTCTAAATCCGTTTATGTTTGCCGATTAATTGCCTTATAAATGATGGAAACAGATTAGGGTGAAGGAGTTATTAGATATTTGGCCAATATTTTTTTTTATCTTCCATGTTTTCAACAATGCCAATTAATAATGAACTAAATAATGCGAAATAATAATTAAACACACAATAAACTGCGATAAAAATTATTCGAGTAGCTTTTAATACTAATAATTAATAATTTATTTTAGTAAAGGGATGGAAAAATAAATCTTTGAGCACCGCAACATTTTAATTAAATTAGATCATTTGCTGGCTTTTATTTTTTTTATTTCTTGTTTTTAATTTCAGATGTCAATATATAACTTACATTACGAGACTTATCCGGGTAAAATTGTTGATTTTTATTCTTTAAATGCCAAAAAATGCGTACTTCTGATGCATAATAATGAAATGAAATTGTTAACACAATATCTGTTGTTAATGGATAAGGAAACGAACGATACAGTTGAAATTTTATGCCGAAATTGGAAAATTGACGCATCTGAAGCACTTCGCGTTGGTTAGATATCTATATGTATGTTAACTAGCGTTTAGGAAATTATCACGTCCAGGAAAAAAATGTATAGATAAAATAGTTGTATTAGTTAAATTGTGAGAAAATAAATGAGATTATCTCGAAAAATAGTTTTTTTACTATTTTTTATTTTTTTACTTTGAGGGATTTTTATTTACATTTATGGAACTGAGTGAAATTATCAAAATAATACAATCCATACTATCTGTGTTACAAGTTTAAGTGTATAAATAACTTTTGATGTATTTTAATGTACTAATTATTTTAACCAGAAAATAACTTTTTTAGCAGATTTTTAATTTTAACAAATCCAAAATGTCATCAGATTTAACAAACTGTTTAATAAAATTTGCTATTTCCCTTTTTTTGTCTATTTCCAAATCTCATTAAATTAGATCTTTTTGCCTAATCCAATTTCATTTTCCGAAATTGTAATCAATCATAGAATTGATCATCCATTCAGGCAATTATTTATGTTGAAGTAATTAAAAGTTTGAAATGGTCGAAATTTGTCACTTAGCTTAACCAAATTTGAGCAGAATGAAAAAGTTTTTCACGTTCCCAATCATTTTTAGGATATGGTGGTTTACAGTTCGGGTATATTGTAGTAAGCGGATATACAACACCAGAATTTGGAAATGTTCTGGACGTACGGATGTTACCTGCTGATCCAGGATCAGTGACAATTCCAGCAATTAATATGGATAGGCAGGTGGGAGATTCTAAAAGAATGTGTATGGCGTAAAATGTTAGAATTGCTTTACTTTTATTTGAACTATAATGAAGCATTCATATTCAAGCAAAACCAACATAATATGATTTAGCCAATACATGTTAACTGTTCTTCAATTATTGTAATAACTGCAAACGGTTACAAATACAGTATTATTTTCTGTTGAAAAGTTTTGGAATATTACTTTAGTAAGGTATCAAATATTTCTCAGTACATTAATCATTCGTCAGATTGCGAGTCTAGAATCACTGATAAAGCAACATCCATCACAGAATTTGATTGTTTGGCCCGGCTCAGTACCACTGATAAATGATAAAGGACTTTATTTCTTGCTTACACGGTACTTCGTTCTTTTATTTCCATCATCTCAAAAGTAATATTTATGCAGGACAATTCTTGCTCATTGTTGTCGATTCATTTAAAACTATTAATTAGCGGTATGCCTTATCAAGAGAGATGCAGCTAATAATTAAGTTAAAATATTAAAAGGCAAACCCAACTGCTTCAAAAATATCCGATAGTTCTTATAGGAGAAAGGATCAAATGCTAGTTTATGAAACAAGTCTTCTTGGTGCGATTGAATTTTTACCGGATGGAACATATAATCCATTGTTGATTGCAGTAGACGACTCCGCGGTTAAGTATGTCTCGTTTTGTAGTTCTCTTTTAATGATTAAAAAAAAAGAAAGAAAACAATAAAGAATAAATGTTATTTTTTTTTAATTTCCAAGATTTGTCTTTTTTTAATTATTTAGATTTGTTTGATAATTGCAGGCATCTTTCAGAACGAGAACTCTGCATTAATTACGTGTCCATGTTGGCTCAACGTGATCGAACCTGTTGGATGAATTCTGCTGTTCCATCTGATCCATCCCATTGGAGAAACGTTTTGCAAAGAATTGCTGTTGTAATTTCAGGGTAAAATTTCAAAATTTTAATAATTCTTTTACCAGTTATACTTAAGCTTTAATCAAAGTCCTTCGGTTGTGAAACTCAAATTTTTTCGGATTAAAAACTTTTCTAATTTCAAAATTCCCAATTAAGTATTTCTTTTTATCATATGCATACTATCAGGTTCATATTGCTGTACCTCGGAACATTTTTCCTGTGGTTATCAAATATCGATGGAGGGTTCTGTGCCTATTGGTTTATTCGTGCTTTCGTCTGGATCAATGGCGGCCATTTACCGCCTAACATCGGACTAAATCCGTCATTTTACATTTTCAAATTGGATATGGATTGTTATCGATTATCAACGAAGGATTTTCAAGTAAAATAATTTTTATGGTAACATGTGAGGTCAATTTATTGAATATAATATCATCATATTGCAGGCGAACTGTGCCTGGCTAAAGTTGGGTGGTCATGCAATGATTGACGCAATGAATGACGGCAGTGCCGTAATGTCCGAATTAACTCACGAATATGACATTATAAGAGTTACGGAATTTCCACCTCCTTTTGTTCCGCAAACACTTCGTCGACAAGCACTAAATAAGTATCGCCAACATTTTTAAATTTGTTTAAATTAATAATTGTAAAATATGAAGCGTGAGAGGAAGGAAAAAAAATACAAAATGACAGTAAAAACGATCTGGAGTGATTTTAGCAAGAAGTTTAGTTCGATTGATCAGAGTTTTTAGATGATAAGTAATAAAGAAAAGATAAGTAATGAACTTAGAAAATGTATAAATGTGAAACTTGGAATTTAAATTTTGAAAAAAAATTAGATTATAGATGTATTGATCTGTATCCAAATCTGTGTTCTTCTGAAATGCTTCGACTGGAATGCGGAATTGCGGATTATCCAGAATTATAGCTTTACTGAAGAAAGGAAATTGTGAATGATAAGTTTTGAAAACTGTTTTTTCCGAGTAAAAATTGTAGAGAATCTCACTGTGTTTGGTGAATATGCCTTACAAAAATTGTTTTAAAATGAAAATGGATATTTCTTTATCTGGATATTTACAACGGCGAACTTTCCTTAAGGAATTTATATGAGTAAATGAAATATTTGAAATTTTGGAAGTTATTGAAGATTGGATAAGAATAATCATTTCAAACATTGACCAGACATTCGATTTAATAATGAAGTTCGCAAACTTGAAAATATGAATTGAGTAACATTTCTTATTGTTAGATATATTCTATTGTGCATTTTATTCATTTGAAACAATCAAAGTAACGTTTATTTAAATAATGATTTTTTCTTGTTTAAACAGGAACAACTTATTCACTACTACTTTGTTCGTGTTCTTCCGGAAGATCATCCACATATTCACCGGTATCAGCACTGTCATCTACCTGTAAAATATTATTCATCTCGTTCTGAAATCATTCTTAGAATGTTAGATATTTGACGGCTAAATGCAGGTTGAAAACGTCAACGTTTGACTAACTCGCTGTGAAATGCTTGCTTGCGTTTTATCGATCATTATTGATGTTACTAACGATATATCTTCGAAGTCCGTTTCTGATTGTGTTTTATTAATCCACAATTTCTCACCTTTATTTTCCCGTTTTGCTGAAAAGAAAAAATTGATTTTTGAAGCAAAATGTGAAACTTTATGAAAAATACGTAACGATTTTCATTCATCTTTAAAAGGCCATAAATTGAAAATCAAATTGTTAAAATTTTTTTCATCTTAAATTAGTGCTATATTTATCGAGGTACCTGTATCAGGTTGTGTCGCTTGCAAGGAAATCATTTTAACGGTTACATCTGATTGTGTCGGTGCCTTTAGAGAATGTTCCGGTGTTTTCTCTTTGAAAGTTTCTATTGCCGTTTTATTGGGAGTTTGTGGTGGTGCGGGAGCTGCACATGTTCGCAGTGGTTGTTGTTTTGTTGCAATCTAAATTAAGAATGATTGTCATTCTCATACCTTTAATACAATAATGATGTTACGAGATGTGATATACTGACGTATAGTATCCCGCACATGGAACATATGAGAAGATATGGAGCCTTAGATAGTAATTAGAAGGATAACATTTCGATTCCTTTTTTTAATAGGAAAATATTGTCAAAAAATATTTTTAATCTTTGAAAATTAAATCAGTTCAAATGAAATAAAGCAAATTAATCTGAAATTACCCAATAAGAAAGAAAAAAATGTAAAACTAGTCAATAAATTTGTAATAATTAAATTGGTAAACTCTCATGAAATTAACGTCACAAAGTTATAAACGACAGCCTTACGAGCTTACAATTTTGGCATTTTGTGGTATTGCTTGCTCGATTTTTTGCTTACTTTTACTTTTGCATAATGCAATTATAACATTCAATAATAGAAAATTGCAAAATAGTCCGAACGGTACTGAAAAGTACAACCTGTAATCAATCCCAAATTAATTAAACGTCTGAGACGCCAATTTTCATGGCGTTCGAAATTTCTAAAATGCGTTGCGTGGAAACGTTGCTGATACATTCGGTGCGAGGAGTTAATGCTTTTTCGTAGCGTTTTGAGGAGTCCTTTATGCCGTCTTTTTACACAGTCATTTATAGACGTCAACGTGTTACATGCATTTGAATGTGAACACAAAAATATCGACATTTTCCCAGTTTTAGTTCATTAGTTCTTCAAAATTGCTTCTTACTTTTTACTCAATATTCGTTGCAAGCATTATATAGCATAGGATTCAATTGGACTTAATTTAATTTCGGACCTTCTAAATTTAATCACACTTTTTAAGATTTTTTGAGTGTTTTTTTTCCTTTACTTAATTTTCTTTATCTCGACTTTGGAATTGCACTACTAATTTGATGAAATCTAGAAATTTGATAACGATAGCTGGATAAAGTCTAATGAAATTCAAACGAGAAGAGATGAGGAATTAATTCCTTCTGTTTTTACTGTGGCAGTTAATTTTTTATTAATTATGCTTACTACATTACCATTTTGGATATTCATATAAATGATAATAACTACAAGATGTTTTTAAGATATTGTTGCGGACCATAATTACCTTTAATGATTGAATAAGCAAGGCAGACTATGATATTCATACATTTATGTTAATGTGTAGACATCTTCAATTATCCGTAGTACGTGTTATCGACGCACATGATTTATTTGATTAAATTGTCATGCAGTGGCACGTCTTCACTAATTGAAAATTGTTAAATTTGTTAAAATTGATGCAATTCATGTAAAAAAGTCATGCAATTGTTTCATTACATGTCAGCGAAGTATACATTGTTAAAATTCTAACGGTAAATACAATTACGTTTTCAATTAATCAGTGTTTGCAAATTTCTTTGGATAGATGGCGTGAAACGACTTATTGGTGTGTAATGCTTTTAGATTTATTTGGACAAATTTTAGGACCCTTAAAATCATTAATCAAATAATCTAAGTTGAAAGTTTACAATTAGGAATACCTTAAAGTAACTTACAAAAAAGGCCGTCAATGAGGAATTCTATTAATGCACAGTCTGGAATATTCATTCAGCGTACGGTGCGACACCAAATGATATATGAAAAAGATAACAATGAATTATTATCCGGAATGATAATGTTTTTATATTTCTCAAGCTAGAAAAAATTTAAAAATTTCCAAATATATCAATCTAAGATTAACATACGCACAAAAAGCCTTGGTTACACGTTGTATGAAAGCTCACATATACAATTCTCATCAATTTTTTCGAATGCAATATCCAAGAATCGAGTATTGCAACAAATTTAGAATGTTGTAATGAAAATGTTCCAAGATGATGATGATACGAAGTTAGAAAATCCATGCATTGATGTGAAATTTTCTTGAGCTCTAAAAAGCCTTCTTTCCAAACCATTTCTTAGAAATTCAGGATAATAATAAGTTCTTAGAAGTGAGTGTTATTTATATTGCGTGAATTTAAGAGTTTATTTTCTCATGATCAAGCATGTAATCTAGTAACCAAGCAAAATTTCATTTGCTTTTATTGATTGTTGCAGCAAATTGACGGCAAATTAAGTTCAATCTTGCAGAAGGAAATGTCTGTTTGCATGATACCAAATGATGCAAGTCATGAAGAGGCCGTTGAGTGGATTGTGTTCGGTCTAGAACAGCTGATAAATTTGTCCAACGAAATATTCGAACGTTTAGCGAATAGGATAAAAAATTTTACTGAGCATGCCAATCGAGTACAGTTGGATTTGAAACGAGTTGCCAAAAAAATCGAGCAAATCAGAGAGGTTAGTAATAGCTTTTGTCAGTTGTTCGCTTGCATCTGTCAGCATATTTTACAAAAAATTATAGAGCTAAAATGAAATTAAAAATTCTTGATTGCACTAAGTAAATCATAATGATATCGTATGATTTTCCAGATAAACACGGCGGTCGTAATTAGTGCCCCTAGCAAGTTTATAAAAACGGAGAATGAATGCCAGCAGAGTATTTTGGGCCAAGGATTGTGTACAAATGTTAATGCTTTAAGAAAGATTAACGCGAAGCAGAGATATGATTTATATGAATCAAAAGATGTTGCAATAGTTTTGGATGAAAAGCAAAAATTTTATCGGTTCACAGAACGAGGAATGAAGCCGAATAGACAAAGTAAGCTTCATGTTTCTCAGAAAAGATTGGTATTTTTGATTTGTATCTGTAACAAATGCATGAAAATTCTATGTTTTCATTTAGATGGAATGAAAATAGTTTGACTGGAATTGGAAATTAAGACAAAAATTCAAAGTGCCTATGATTTTTTGAATTATACACTTTCAAAAAGCGAAGAATCTGAAATTTTGTTTTTAGCGAGAGAGATCCCAGATAATTTGCAGTCTGCTGCCGATTTTTTGTTGTTCAACACTACTCTGAATGTTTATACTGACAGGCGATTCCTGGATCCTTTTGATAATGTGAAAATTGAAGTAAGCTTAGGTCTGTCTTGCTTCCTCAAAGAAAAACACTTTCAAAAAATAAGTCACTTTTAGAAAATTGGTCGTTTATATTTTTGGAAATAAACTTCAGAAATAGGCATCTAACTACCTGAATTTTATGTGTTTCGTTTAGTTGCATATGGAGTCAGAATCCAAGATACAACAATCTGCACCAATGGCGGATGACTCAACCTTGACTGTCAGCGTGAAGCAAAAAATGGATCCGTTGCAGTATCAACCAGAATTCGGTTCACTTCAGAATTTCAGTCTTCCAGAATTGTTATTCACTTCAGCGAGTATACTTTTGATATCTTTTTTTTTAATTTGTTGGCCAGCATTACTATTTTAACCTTTCTTAGGTGTTCGTTTTTTGCGATAATGCCCTAAAGGAACTTTTAATCCAATTATATATGCCATGTATCTGTCAATTGAGAAGTCTTTACAAAATTTTCCATTGCCTATACTTGTTGCAAAAGATCTACTCGCAAATAAATGACCTTGATGACGATATTTATGGATATTTATTTGTTTTTGATCAAGCACATATTTGCAAGATAATTTAATTCCAGGTCTTCCTCCTGATTCGCTGATTGTTCGGAACTCCTCAGGAAGGGATGTATCAAATACTGCTGAATCAGTCATGGAAAGTGATATTAATACCGAAGAAATATCAACTAAACTAGATCTAACTATTGCAGAAAATACTAATAAACGGTCTTCAATGATAAGTGAAAATGTAGCAGTTAGTTCGCGGTTTTTGGCTTTGGAAACGAGTGAAACATATGAAACATCTTCTGAGGCAACGAGTATAGCAGGTTTGGCTATCTCTAAAAGTGGAACGTCGGAAACTAGGAATTTTGAAAATAAAGGACGAATTTACATCAGAACCATTATTTGATCAAATAACGGTGGTTTCAATTTTGTTCTTTATTATCATTTTAAATTAGATGTAATTAAATTACCATTATTTCACTACTGCTACAGACAACACAAACACTTTTGCTTAAAACTGAAATGTAAGTTTCTGCATTAATTTTGCAATACCGCATTAAAAAAAAACATTTGAAAAAAATGAAGAATTTTATAGATTAAGCCAATCTATTTGCCTTTATTTCTAAGTCATCTTTGTTTCTTTTCTCTGTTTTTTATTCTAAAAATTTTGCAGAATGGAAGTGTTTCTTGTTCTTATTCTTCGTTAATATTAAGTCATTCTCTCACAAAGGTTAAGCGCTAGAGAATGACCTTTTTTTATCCTTCCTTTTTTCTTTTATCTTACATGTGTAATTTGTGGTTCTGTCACAATTCGAGAAATCTAAAAACTCATTTGGGTTGTACAATAGTTGCAACGAAGAAGAAGGAGAATTTCAGATAACTCGTACTCTTCATTATTTTTATGAATCATTGTTTATATTTCACATGAATGTTTCTTAGTTTTATAAATTTTCAGAAAAGATACCATCGTCACTTCCTCCAGCAGCGCCTCCTCCTCCCCCTCCACCGGCACCACCAATTCAGCTTACAACACAGGTCACAATGGGTAGTCAGTTGAAACCGACAATTATATGTAATGATGATAGAGCTAATTTAATGGAAGCTATACGAAGAGCGGGAGGGGCGAAAGGTGCAAAACTACGATCAATAAGAAAACGGGTAACTTTGCAAAACCAATATCCTTTCCATCCTCGATATGGAAAATGCGGATAAGATCCGCCTGGAATAATTGATAAATAAATCATTTGTAGGAAGAAATACTTGCTGAAGATGCATCGGTTTTGCCTAAACGAAACGTGCTTGCTCTTTCATCGAGCAACGATTTGATGTCTTCGCTAGCGCAAGCTTTGGAACAGAGGCGCAAGGGTACTAAAATTTCACTCATATTTATTGCTAAACATATTTTTTTTGTAAATCTTACGAATTTTTTGAAAAATGGAAAACATATTGTGCCTATCAATTGTGTGCTGCAAACTACTAGATTTTCGAAACTTTTATAGGAATATTTGGAAAGAAATCGGAACGTCGAGAGCCAACAAAATCTTTAGGATTAAATGAGGGAGCATTTGCACATATGAGTGCCCGAATACCGCCACCACCTCCCAAAGAAGATAATGATGAATATGATGATGTTGATGAAATCGACGATTATGAATGGGAATAAAATGCATTAGATGGCATATTCTTAACATGGTTTTTTTCTGATATGTTGACATCATTAGATCGTGATATTCCGTAGGAATCCCAAAAACTGCTTGTTTTTTTTTTTGCTATTTTAACGACTGAATCTTATACCTAAAGTCTTCTGTCTATCTCTTTTGTTTGTACTCGATGCTGTGTATCTTCGAAACTATTTACATTTAATAGGAGAGACTGAACAATATGATTAACAGCCAGCGATACGGTCTTATTTTAAAATACTCATTTATGATTATACTTTGTGTAGAATGATGCGATCACAGACATATTCTCAATGTTTGTAAATTGATTTGGGTTTGAATAATGTTGAGTTTAACATTAAAATGGTTTTTGATTCCTTTGTTTTTTATAATTTGCTAATATATTAGAATAAATGCATGTATTATATAAGTTTAATGTGTTCCTCTAATATTATTTGTTCCGTAGCTCTTACTGAGATTACTTAAAATTTATGGTTTTCTTTCTTTTTTTATTTGAAATTTCTCTTATGTTTAAAAAAATGTTAATAATAGAATGATTATTAATTAGCTCATGTTTCGGGAATATTTCGAACAGTAATTCCAGAGATCTTCCATGGTTAATAATAGACCGTATGGTTATTGTCGATGATCCACTAGAAGGCAGTTCAGATTCGTATGCTTCACCAAATCCTTCACCCGCACGAGGAGTGTACGGTATGTTCAGTTTTAACAATTTTTTAAATTCTGCTAATATGACACTTTGAGTTCGCCTAAGTTTGCTGAATGTTTAATATAACCTTGCATTTTTATTGGAAAATGAAATATTTTTGATTTCTTCATAAAATTAGTATTTTGATAATAGAAAGTTTAAAAATGTTGCTTCTTGAAGTGCGTACGAATTGTTAGGAAGGCAAAGTTTGTCTTTGCATTATTTTTCCTTAAGTAAAAGTTAATGAATATTTGGTAGGTTAATGGAGATGGAACTTATTGACACAAGTTTAATTTCTTTTAATGAAATGAAAAGATTTTAGATTTGAAGTAACATTTAACAGCATATATTTCAGGTTTTGCGTTATTTGTCTGTTCTTGGTTTTTTTTGGCCTTATATCTAATTTGGGCTCTTCTTCCAACGCCGTATTTGGAATTACTTCATTTAACGTACCTACCGGCCAAATATTGGGCTATTGCTATACCGTTACTATTACCGATAACAGTTGCTGCATTTATTATCCTTGTATTGGCACATAATCTTATTCAGTTGCATGGAGTTTTTGAGGATATCGAAGTAAGTCTTGCTGCTTCCTTGAAAATGAAGTGAAAAACTCTTGAAAAGTTTTAAGTCTAACTCGTCTCTTACTTACTGATATTCTTTGCAGATTATAGAAGACGATTTTGGAGGAAGTGTAGGACTTCGCAGTGTTAATTTATAATCTTTTTTTACAAACAGCAAAAGTCTTGACGAAACGAAAGGTAAATGTTTTGCTTAAAAGAAAAGAGATTAATTTCTGAAATTATTTTATAATATCAATATTTTTTGATTAATAAAGTTGAGTAGATATGAGATATTCGTGTTTTGCTTTTAAACTGACGCTGGCCTAATATTTTCGAAAATATATTTTCGATAAAGAAATTCTATCAAACACTATGCATTATCAATTTTGTGTCATTGTTTCAGTGCCATGTATTTCTGAAATTAGTGAAGACAACATAAGCAATTCGTAAATTTCGAAAATAAGAAGGTGCGCAGTATCTGCAATCATGTTGCATGGAGCATCTCGAATCTTAAAGTTGTTTCCGTCTCCATCAATGTCTGCGTGGCAGCAAACGCATTCACTTGGTCGACGTTTACGACGAAGAACAAAAATTATTCAAAGTATTCCGGCAAAAGTACTTTCAGTTTCAAAAATTAATGAATTGGTGCGGAAACGGTTAGAAATTTTCTCATGTGAGAATCCGGCATCAGTTTCGGAAATGGATTTGAATTCCTTATCTGCTGATAGATACCTGGAGTACGGCTTTATTCTATTTATTGCAATTTTGAACAAACTTATTTCCCGCAGTATTTAATTTTTTACTAAATTTTAAAATTTTGGAAAAATCCGTAACAGCTTTTTTCTTGATTGTTGATTTCAGAATAAATGCCAGCAAATATACTTCAATTATTGCATTTCGACAGGCTAAGAAAGAAGAAAATAAACATGAAAAGAAAGAATTGACTGTTGAGTGTGGAGAAACTAGGAAAGAACATAATGTAATTCTCATGTTTTGTCTCAATGTTGAATTTGGAAATTATTTTGAATCACACAGATCTTTTTTTTTTTTAATTACACAATGTTGATTGGTCGTTTAATGCTTGCTGATGGTTAAGAACATGACTTTATTCCAAACATGATGAGAATTGTTTGAAATGTCAGTCACCAAATTATTTTATTCACTGCAGTCATAATTTGAGTGTGGAGTTCGAAATATATTGTTCTACAAATTCCTAGTTAACTTAAAGTTTACTTTGATGTAAAAGTTTCAATCAAATCCAAAATTTAGTCATAGAAAACATAGAATATTATCTACATCATTGTTATCTTGCAGGATTTTTTGTTATCTGGTTCTTTTTTGTTGAAAGCTGATTCGATTGCTTCAAGAAATCTGGAAAATTCGTCGACGTTTTGTAAGTTTCGTGGTTCCGATCGTGGGTTTTACATTTATGGCGATAGCTTTGTCGATGAATTTGTTGTTGGTTCAACAGCGGATATACCTGGTGGTGAACTGGAAAAGTTAGCATCAATTTCATTTAAAATTTAAATTAGATATTCTCAAGTTTTTAGAAAATATGTAAGATTCTTTGTCATAATTATTTGCTGAGTAGTCCATGGCAGTTGTAAAATTTTAGTGTTGACGATGAAGTCGTAGTTCGTTATGGTGCCGAAGATGCTGTTGAAGAAATTGATTTTCAGCTTCCAGGGCAAAGCAGCAATCCAAAAGTTCGTTTTTATTCGATTAAAATATTTATACGCTGTTTCCTGAAATTCTTTCAAAAGCATCCGTCTTCAGACAGTATGAAAATTGGATGCATTCTTCCTTTTCCTTTTTTCCAATTGTTACTTGATAAGCTTTAGGATAATGTAATGGAGGACGAGGGTGATGAATTTTTGGATAATTATGGTACAGTCGATCCAACAATGCCCTCCTCAAATAAGCTTTGTGGTGCATGTGGAGCGAATTTCCATTGTCGAGTAGGAAGTCATTACCAACATTATTTCTTGTCAAAATTTAATACCGGTTAACTAGTAGTTTTTAGTGCAGTGATGACTACAATGAATCGATATAGAAGCTAAAAATCAAGTGACTGAGTTTTTTTTATCTTCGAAACTTTGCTTTTATTTCCAGGATGCTTCTCTGCCAGGCTTTTTGCCTGCAGAAATTTTTTTGAAGTTGAATGAGTATAATGATCAATTGTGCCGCAGGTGTTATATGCTTAAAAAGCATAAATTTTTGGTTAGTAATTCTATCTTTTGAATGGATAGTTTAGTAAACTGGCTCGCTTAATGCTTTCTGTTAATGTTTATAATAAAAATTCAGGCTATTACATTGTTACAGTAACATGCAACATTGTTTGCATCATATTTCTGGAATTCTATTTCTTAAACAAAAAGAATGAAAGTTGATTCCCACATATTTTAATAGTAAGTCACAACCAAATATTATGAGATTAGTTGAAATATCCAGCCTAAATTTGAGTAAACATGAACAGAATAGGTAGTACAGTGGTTTCCATACATTTTATTCCAGCTAAATGTTAATGTTTGTGAAGTGGATTATCATTCGATGATGAAGCATTTAAAACTTAAACAGGAAGCACTAATAATACTTGTTGTCGATATGTGTGATTTGCCGGGATCCATTTATTCTGAATTGCCAAAGATAATTGGTTATCAGAAACCTATGATTGTTGTTGGTATGTTGTTTTTTGTCTTCCACATCAGCTTTAAAGTTCATATGAAGTTATTTTTGTTGATAATATGTTACTCACATCTTTGTACCGATGCGAAAACAGGATATAATGTCGAAGATCTCATTACTCTTTATATTTTAATAAATTTTTTCATTTTTCATTTTTGCAAGGATTATTGCTTGTAGGATTATCATTTCTTTGAGTGAAATATCAATTAAAAGTTGTCAATCTTCAAAATCTAATCAAAAATGTATAGTGAAAAATGTCTTAACATTTTCCTTTTTTTTTCCATTCTAAATTTGACATTTTATTTATGTGATAAGTTATTCATCTCACAAGAAATTCGTGAATTGAAGACCTACATTACTAAATGATTGACCAATCGGATCAAATTATTTTGCATTACGTTATATATGATTGTTGCAGGAAATAAGGTTGATTTATTGCCGCCAGATGCACGCCGTGGTTTTTTACATCACTTCCGACAAATTTTGCATAGTTCATTGAAGAGAGTAGGATTTATTGATAATTTCAATATTTTACACACGTCGCTTATTAGCGCGAAAACAGGATATGGTATCGAAGATCTTATTACTGTTCGTATTTTAATAAATTTTCTGATTTTTCATTTTTGCAAAGATCGTTGCTTGTAGAATTGTTGTTTGGTTGAGTAAAATATTTTAGGTAAAAGTTGTACAATCTTCAAAATGCTAACCTAAAATCTACAGCGAAAAATGTCTCAACTTGCTATTTCTTCTTAAATTTGACAATTTTATGTGGCAAAAACAGGGAATGAAATCGAGTTGTTACATAAGATGATGGTAAATTTTTATTGTAAAATTAAGATAATGATTTCTTCTATGTAACCATAAAATATTTCACTATTTCAGAACATTTTTTTGAGATTTTCAACTCGAGACACTTTGCGCAATGATATGTATTTAGTTGGATGTACAAATGCAGGAAAGTCGTACGTTCTTTCTATCGATTCTGGCTGGTTTTACTAGATAGTTTTCATAATTATTTTCATGTATTTCAATTTCATCACTTAAGATTGAAAATTTTCTGTAATTTACTCGCAGTTTAATATAAATTTTGGATATTGACTTTGGTTACGAGTATCGAATCTATTGTTCTACCATTTTATCATTCGGAATAGAAAACTTTTTAAAAAATTGCTCTTTCGCTGCTCTCAGTAGTTAGTCTTTTCGACTAATTTGTTGTATTTTTAGAACACTTTTCAACGCATTACTGCAGTCCGATCTATGTAAAGTACGTGCTGTAGACTTAGTGGAACGTGCAGCTGCAACTCCTTGGCCTGGTACCACCATTTCATTATTAAAATTTCCGGTAATGAATCCTTCGCCATATAAACTGGAAATCAGACGACGACGGTTAGTTTTCAGCATTTTTCTGATATTTTCCAATTATTCTATAATAAATTTCACTTATTCTTATAGTTTTGCTCTTTATTATGATTACATTATTTGCATTGTGACCATCTGTGAGTCACTTTTGTTCGTGCCAATTTTAACTACTTAGTGTATATGGAATTTTTATTTATATTGCATGCTTTGTATCGAAACTGTTATTGTTATAGATTGTTAGCAAATCAAGCTTGGCAAAAAAAGGAAGACCGTATACGGTATTATTTGTATAAGCAGTCAGGAGATGTAAAGTATGCAATGTTACAATCTGCCATTGGAAATTCGTTTAAGGTTCTTTTTTTTTTGTTTTTTGAAATGCAACTTGCATTCATAGTTATTTATTATTCTTATTTTGAGATATATTTTAAAGCGAACAGTGAATTCGGGTCAATTCAATTCAGCAACTGAACCTTTTACTCCATTTTTTTAAACATAATTTTAAAGGACCGTGAAGAAGAATTGCAACCACCACCTTTTCATTCTATACTTACCGATTCCGAAGCAGCAACAGAAAAACCGAAACGAGTGTAAGTTGCATTTTTTATCATTTAATTTCATCAAAAGTAATGAGCGATTTAGGAAATGAAATTCAACAATTTAATATTAGTTAAAGCACCAATAATCAGATGACATGCTGAATTTGGATTTTTCTTCCATACACAGATATCTCTCGCAACAAATTACAATGTACTGATTTTATCTTTAGTTTTGATCCGAATTCATGTATTTTTGCGAAAGGAAAATGGTGTTTTGATACACCTGGAACCGTCAATTCAGATCAGGTTCTGCTTTAGTTTTTTCATAACGTATAGTGGTTTGGTAGTTGGTTGCCTACTCGGTTACTTAATTTGAATTTTTTAATAGCCTTCTTTCCCCAAAAGACTCTGACCACACACCATAATTATATGCTTCATTTGTGTATTTTCGCTTCAGGATCCTTTTTAAGTAAAATCCGTAATTTACATAAAGTTTTTACCATCAGCTACCGCATTCAGTATATCTAGTTTTGAATTTCGAAGCTTCCGAAATTACTTAAATCCCTTTAAGCATTTTGTTATGTTCTAATGCATTTCCCGAAGTACTTTGATTACTATTCACGGTTGTTATTCAGATTCTTGATTTATTCACTTTGGATGAGCTGATTGCTGTTTTACCGCGAAGTATGATTTTACCACGAACATTTATTATGCATTCTGAGGAATCTCTTCTCATTGCTGGCGTTGCGCAAATCGATGTGATTAGTTTACCGACTACGAAGCCTACTTCCAATAAGAATTATCCAGAAAGACGATCATGTATTTTAGTAAGAAATTTCAGAAAATTCATTATTGATTTATCTTTCATTTGGAGGGCTTTTTTTTATATTTAGGTGAATTTTGTGCAAATGTGTGAAATTTCAGAAATATAACTTCTTTTTTATGAGATGGATAAATTTGCAAAGTTTATAGTTAAGTCTTTGTATATTGCTGACTTGAGATCGCTGTTTAAAAAGTTTTGATATTTCAGCTGACAGTGTTTGCCAGTGAGCAGCTTCCAATTTTCATAAGAAAAACATCTGAGATGGCGGCTTTTCGTGAAAAATATTTGGGTAGTTCACTTCTTGTTGTTCCAGCTGGCAATGCTGAAAGAATAGCGCGGTTTCCAAGCGTAAATTTTGATTTATTGATGGATCTTGTTCAGGCACACATACATACATACATTATATTAGCTTCAGATTTGTCATGCTTTGGAAATCTTGAATTTCAAAGTAAAAGATCTCTGAACTAATAGAAAATTTATTTTCATTTTTCAGCTTAAAGGCTGTGAAATGATCTTAGAAAGTCCTGGATCAGGGAAAGGCTGCGGCGATGTGGTACTTTCGTCTGTGGGATGGGTGTGCGTAACATCTCGACGTGGAGAAGTTCGCTTACAAGCTCATACCCCTGAAGGACGCGGTTTATTTTTACGACAGCCAGCGCTTTTACCATTTTGCGCACAACTTCGTGGATCACGTATAGGGGGTACAGCTGCATACAAAGTAAAACGACCTGTGCTATATGGTCCAGATGTATCGCGAAAGCAAAGAAAGCGAAAAGTCCCCAATAAAGGAAGTGCTAAGCCGATAAATTTATTTTAATTCAATAAAAGGCTTAGGATATTTTTAAACGACTTTATAATGATGTGTGAATTTTAATAGACTCGAGGTTTAGTCGGTTTTCTTGATTTTCTTTAGCTTTCATTCTGTGAATTTCATTTTTTCTAGAATTAAAATAATTTAAAAGTGTACATTGTAAGTATTACACCGTTTTCCTGATGTAATTAATTTTTTCTATGTTTCTGTTTTATTTATTCTTGCTGCATTGATCATATTATGGAAGATTAATGATTCTTTGCTCATCTTTTTTTCTTTTCCATTATTTTTTTTGTAATATTAAGTGCGGGCAGTCTGTTTAATTGATAGAATAATCAAAAAACTTTATCGATTAGAATTGTTGGTTTTACTGAGTTGGAGAAACACTTCGATGATATTCGCTTATTTTTAGTGCTTCATCCATTAGAAGCTATTATCGAAAATACGGTGATCTAACTTATTCCAAATTGTTTTTGAGCACGAATATTTTATTATCTACTTGTTGCTAATAAAACCTTTGAGTAACGTTCATTTTTTATCCCATAAGATGTGTCCAAATGCGCAGATTTTAAAAATTTTCTGTTTTCAGTGTCATAAAATTTTTTAATTTATTAGTGGAGCTTTTAATTTATTGATGGAGAGGGGCTATTTTTAGAAATTAAAATAAATGGCAAGATTTTTACAAATGTTTTTAACTGAATTCTGGGATGAATCGGTGAAAGTATTGAGAGGCAAAATGCTTATACTTGTTTTCCGTGTTCCAAGATTTGAATTTTTCGGATATTTTACGATACCTATTCTAATAGAATAGGTATCTTAAAATATCCGAAAAATTGGTGTGAAACAGTCGAGTGGAGTTTTCTTAGAAATAGGTTATAACTTTTGGCTTTCAGATTTATTCTTACCTTTTAAATTACATTTTAACTTGGAGTAGATTTTTGACGAGTAAACAATTTCCATTTAGCACTGAAATGTTATCAAATCAACATATTTGCAGTATATTATATCATGCTATTTTGATGGATACATTAACTACTTGTCGGTTTTATTTGCTGACAAGTTCTAACATTAAAGTACTCTCAACCTTTATGTTCATTATTCTTCCTGTGATCTTTTTCAACTGCAGGTATGTTTTTATACAAATTGTCTATAAATACACATGGATGAAATTCCAGAACCTTTTACTACCTTATTCAATATTTAGGTCTCTGAAAAAGTAAGGTTTTTATTAGTGAAGTAATGGAAGTTTCAATTCCAATTCTTAGATGGTGAGTCGTACTTTTCTGTTTAGGTGAGCATTACTTGCATCATTTGCGACAATCATTCTTTTTAAATTTGTTTAGTTATATCCAATATTTTAATCGAGCATCATTTTAGTCATCTTTTATTTAGTGTAATCATTTTTTCTTTGCGATATTATCAATTATTTCTACTTAAATAATTATTTTTTTCCTCCTACAGAGTCTTTTAATTTTCTTAATTAGTTTTACAAGAAAAAGTAGTTGTGGATTTATGTCGTTGTTACGTTATAATTTTTCTTTTTACATATTTATTTTCCCTTTACCTATGTTGCAAATGCTATATTATAAATGTTACATGCATTATATTTATTTTAAACTCTTGCACAGTTTTGTTTCCAGTGTTTTATGGATTGCTGTACAATATTCAGCTCTATTTGTTGGTTATTTTTTAACAAATTCTTTGATGAATCGTTCTAATGGAGAACTTTTATGGAATTTTTTCGAAAATTGGCTTGATGAAAAATTGGATGCTAATGAAGCTGTTGTTGAAAATATGGATGTAAAAAATATTTCCAAGCAAGTCCGTAATTCACCATGGAAAGGTTAGCCAGTAAATGTTTAATTATTTTCAGTCCTGCTTCTCTGACTTTGCATTTTTCAATACTGTAGAAATTGTTAATTACATGTCAAAGATTATTGCACGAGAGTGTATTGTGGTGCATATTGACATTTTTGTCAGAATAAATTTCAATTGATTCGAAATTTGTATGAAATAAGAGCTCTTTTCGCCCAGTTTGGAAGTGGAAACTGTATCTGATTTTTTTCGGAAAACACAAAAAATGCAACTTTGTTTTCGAAATAGAAAGAAGAAGCTTATTTCAGGTGTGACGATACCGGAATCAGTTAATAAATTGCTTGAAGAATTGATTGAACAGCTAATTGATAATTATATAAATACTTGGTATAAAGCAAAAATAGGAGGTGATGCAGCGTTTGTCAATGAAATAAGGTGGTTTTAGCAAGTTTTAGCATTACACATAAATTATAAAAACTATCCGGTAATTCAGCACAGTCCGTTTTTTGATATCACATAGAAAATAGTTTGATGTTATTGTGCGCTACGATGTACACGTTCGATGAATTATAAATATTAAGATGGTATTACATTGAAATATCTGAGGATTTATTTTAGGTATCAGATTCGCTATGCTGTTGCTGTTTTGTATTTGCGCTTTCGGAAGATTGATCTTTCCTCGATAATCTTGTTTGAGGTTGTACCGCTGGCAGTTATACATTGTGATAGAGTTGGACATTTAAGCGCTGTTATTGAAAAAAGCGTGCGTTTTTCTATGTTTTTCTATGAGAGGTTTCCTGCTTAAATATTATGATTCTTAAAGTCATTGTAGTATTTTTCTAGTCACAATTTTCCAGTTTAATTTAAAAATTCGTTTTAAGTTGCTGATACTTTGTGGACGTCACTCATTGTATATCGTTTAGATATGTTCATCTCAGTTGGTTGAAACGAAAATTCTGGAAGATATGCCGGATGTACATTTTGCTCTCAGCTCACGACAAAATGAAGTGGATTATCTGCGCGAGTTGGCTGATCGCTTGATTAGGCTTATAATGGATGAAAGCTGTACTGTGCGTCATTCCAGCGACAAAGATTCCTCTTTCCGTGACTTCCTTAATAATCATTCGGTATTATTTTCATCCAATTCGAGTTTTTTAGGATCGGTTGCTTTTTGAGTTATCATTTTGCTTTAGCAAATAAATTTAAAGTAATTTAATATGTAGTGCAACGTGTAACATTTTTCATGGGATTTTTCCATGTGCATACAATGGTATTAAATAATTGGTTAATTTTGTTGATTAAAAATGATGTGAGTATTATTTAGACTGGTTATTTGTTAACTTTCGTTGATTTCTCTGTACAGTTTTTACTTAAATCATTTTAGCAACCATGGGCAAGTCATGCATGTCGCCATTTTTTGCGGGAACTTTTTGTTTTTTCATTTTTTTTACCTGCTATGGATTTAATAGCTGATCCAGATACCATCAATCGGGTACTAATATTTCTCTTCGACTCGGATGTTCTCAGCTGTTCGCAAATGTCTCAGGTATTTCCGATATGAACCAAAATGTATTGTCTTTTTCCCTTAACTTTAAAAATAGCTTCGTTCAGAACAATCCTTTGAGTTCATGACGCTGACAGTACAGAAATATGGTAGTAGCATTTATCGGAGTGGATCTGATGTAAAGTTTGTTTTTGTGAAAAGTGCTTTTTTTAGAGCAGCAGGCAAGTTGAAATCTTACATGGGCTTACTGATTATTCTCTAAACGACACTCCTGACTCATTACTTCAACTGAAGCTTAGTGATATGCTTCGAGATACTGGGCAGTTGTTGATGTTCAGAGCATACTTAAACGATATCCATGCACCTTTAAGTGAACTTGATTTTTTAGTTCATGCAGGAGATGCGCATGGAAGAATGCTTAATATTCAGGTTGCTACTTTTTTGAATTATTCTTTCTAAAATATGGAGTTCGAAATAAACTTTTTCAAAAATGCAATAATGTGAAATGTTGACCTGTCAGAGTCATAATATGATGAGCTATTGTTAAATTGTTTATCCTGATCCTGATTTTTTTTCATATATACATGGATACTCATTAGATCTTATTATCACAGGATTAAATGATTTTTTCTAACGAAGTACATAAGTATGTCATAAATTTTATAAGAATAATTAAAAGTTCAAGTATTATTTTACGTTTGTGAATTTGAAATACTGTATTTAATTTGATCAGTTATTTAAATGTTTACACTAGAAAATGTGATTATGTTTGTTAATCATGCATCGCATTTGCAGAATGATCACATTGCTATGAATGAACTGCAGTACGACATTTGGGAGCTTTTTATTAAATATATTCACGAGGGTGCTCCGAACAGGATTAACCTTCCTATTGAAGTTAGCTCTAATTTCAGCAAAGCAATGGAAAAGCGTGATTGTGAACTGCTTGATCGCTGTCTGGAAAAGGTTTAGTTTTCATTATCTATATCAAAATTTTAAGAAATTATTAAGAATATAGAATGGATGATAGGTTTTATATAGCTTCAATATGTGAATGAAATTGTTGAAGTTTATAGAGTTTTGATATATTTTATCAATTTGAGAATTTCAGGCTTTTCAAATTATATACAAACGAATGCAGCATGAATATGTGATACCATTTTGTCAATCGGAATGTTTCTTGGGTAATTTGTGTGGTCCTCGACCTGTAGATGTCGATGAATTAATTGCATCCGGCGAACATACTAATTCAACTCGCTGTCTTATATCAACTGTTGAACCCAACTATTCCCTAACTCAGTTCAGGTAAATAAAATTTTTCAGCAGTTACTGTACATTATTGCATTTCTATGTTACCTTCTTAATTTCCGAATTTTTTAATTGACTTACAGTTATTGTTGTACATGGTTAGAGAAATGCGTCACGTATTCCATTTGCTTAAATGACGCTACAACTTGCAAATGTCAAAGTCATCTTTAAATTAGCCATGTGGAGCTCGAACTTGAATAACTCAATCTTAAATTTGTTCATTCATAATCATTCATTCTTCCATAAAAAGAAACCGAGGGAGGAGGAATCAAACACAGCTTTTTGGTAGTCATTAATATGTTTTAAGAAATGGTAAGTAATCTATTTCAATATGTAGTAGTATTTGTTCCCATTGAAACACTCAACAGAGTAAGCATCCTTAGCAATACAACTCGGAAGTCTTTCAACTCTTACCTTGACTGCTGTAAATTTTTTGCATCCATCAGAGTGGACCTACAATATATTAGGGTTTCTTGTAGAACAGTCAGTCTCGAAATCTCTCTTTTTATAATTAGTTAGTGTGCTCACTTGACAATACCTAGAATTTACTATATCAGTTATTCTGTATAATTATTTGTATATCTTTCAAACAGTTGCCAAATTTAGGAATCGCTTTTGGCGAATGGTCTTACCAACAGCTGGATTGATAGATTCATCGTTTGATCGTTTAAATGATATTGCATTAAGTGAGATGAATAATGAGATCGAGCCTGCTGATGATATCACGCAGAGTTTGAGTTCGAACTCATCAAATGATGGTACAACTATACCAGCTTTTGAGGTAAAGTATTGCAAAGTATTGACGTTTTCATTTTCAAATTCCATTGATGTATTGCAAAGTATTGAATTCCAGCTTTCGTGAATAGTGGGAAAGAGAAGATAACGGAAGAGGAAGATGATCAGCGTATCTCTAATATGATATGTTCCGGTGCCTATTTGATATTTGGAACTCGGAATTTTAATCTCAGAAATTTTTTGAATTAAATAAGTTCGATTATTTCTGCAAACGGTTTTCAGGCCGATGAAGAGCTTGTTGAACAGCAGACGAATTCGAGTAATTCATTTGAGATACCGATGTTTGATCCGGAACGTGATATGAACAAATGGAATGTAACAATTCCATATGTTGAGCCACGACGAGATCCTATTGGGGGTCTGTTCTGGATTTTTAGATATTTTAGTCAATGTTTGAGAAGAAAAACTAATGTATTAATATCTGAAATTCAGATTAATGTATTTTTATGGATTGATTCATATTCAGGTCATACTATGTATGTTTATGTCATTTCGGTTGAAAGATTTGATGTAAGTGGTAACGTCGAGCAAGCATCGTTATCAGCCACTATAGCGCCACAGAGAGTGAGTCCTTTTCCTCTTAAGCTAAATGGAATTAAACTATAAATTGTGTTTATCTTAAGATTTCGTTAAAATCATTTGACTTTTTGAATATCTACCGTTCAGGCTGTCAATCTTTCCAGTGGTCTGTGATTCGACATTACAACGAATTTTACATTTTGGAATCAAAATTAATAGAGTTTCACGGAAGTACAATTAAAACGGAATCATTGCCACCACGTCGTTTTTTCAACTGTAAGAGTCGTGTTTATGTGGAATCCAGACGTGAAAATTTTGAACGTTTCATTCAGCTACTCACAAGACAGGTCCAGTATTTTTTTCAGCTTTGAATGAATAGTTGTTGAACATATAATATATTTGGATAGAGAACCTAACATGGTATTTTTATAGTTTCTTTAATTATTGCTTGGTTGCTGAATGACTTAGTAGTATATACATAAGAATATCCAGATGATTTCAATAAACTTAGTTCTTTCAGCGAGCGTTAAAACAGTCAGATTTGTTGTTTGTTTTTCTGAGCACTGAACAAAGGTTGAAGGATTCAACACAAATTTCTGATCTCTATCCCTGGAACGTAAGTTACAGTTTAAAATAAAGTGACTTTATCTATTAGAAGGTATACCTATTTTCTTTTACTTACTTTTTTAAGTTGCCATTTTTTTTTACTCATCTAAGTGAACAGTTGACATGTGGAAATCTCAATGAGTTTCAGATGGTAAAGAAAGTGCCGAGTAAATTTGCTCGTGAAAGAGGTCAGAATTTAAAACCATTTATTTTATCTCTGCTGGCGACAACATTGGTTCCTCATTCGAGCAGTTTCACTGAATCGAGGTGGTATTTCAATTTTAAATTTCACGGGAACGAGTTTATGCAGAAAACACCCGGATACTTATGTAGAAATACAATTAAAGTTGTTCACATTTCTGTGCATCTTTTTTTCTGCCACATATTTTTGCCCGAACATATAACTGGTTAAAATAAAAAAAATTTTTGAAAATTATTCTGCTGCTCGGTATGTAATAATTTTGGAATGCTAATCTAAGAATCAATATCGAATGTTGCAGTATTTTAGCACTACATCGTCCATTAATCTAGAAATTGCGAGTCAAACACGGAAGATATTACAAAGTGATATATATGGTGGCAATAGTCGAAGTATTCAGATAGATCTCTCTCTCACAAAAAGTACATTATGGACGAGGTATCTGTTTGTCTGTTTAATTATCAAGTTCTGATATTTCCTTTTCATTTATATTTCCCCATCTCATATTTTGCATAGTATATTAACGAGCCAAATAATTTAACGAGTTGGTTAGTTTCCTTCGCTACATCTTCAACAGATCAACTTTGACACTCAAACAGTGTTTGCTAAAAACTGAAAGTCGAACAACTGAATACGATATCGTTTTTCAAACTAAAGATCTCCAAACAAAAAAAGGAAGGTGGCAAATGAATTTTAATTGGGCGAGAAATATTAAATTTTGATTTCCTTGGAATTGTTAAATCATTCAGTTTTCGATCACAATTAAATTTTGGGAATTTAATTTTCCATTTAATTCTTTTTTTAAAATTTTCAGCAGTTTTTATGATGCCATCCTTTTCATTCTGAATCGGTTGTTTGGTGTTGTTAGATGGCCAATATGGATCAGTATGACCATTCGACATTTAATGAGAGATACTATTGATGCGGTGGCAGCTGTTCTATTTAGACGATTTTTGAATAAAATATTTGTGGAAGTAAATTGCATACGCATACTACGCTTCATCCAAGAATCAATTTTTGGTCCTAAAAATTTAACAGAAACCGATCAGGTAATTGACGATTCCTTCCATTAATAAATTGTACAAAATGTTTGGATTTTTGATCTTTCTTTTTTGATCTCATGTTTTCATCAAGTACTTTCTTCGTTGAGAAAGTTTCGAAATGTATCACTGTTCATTAACTCATAATCGATACTGTTACTGAATAATTAAATTTTGCTTTTTAGGAAAAGGTGCTACGTATGGAGCTGGCGCAACGTCTAACATTGAAATACTTGCAGGAACAGCTACCAGTTTGTTTTATTAAATTAATTGGCGATAAGGAATTCTGTCAGGGAATGCAGACCATTTTTCGTATCTTACAATATCCACGTTTAAATAAACAATTAGTATATGTTTATCTTGACATAATTACACAAAAACTATTTCCAATTGAAGATGAGCAAAGATTGGAGATCAAATAGCGACACATTTTTTAATTTCCTCAATTGATTGTAATGTTATTATCATTAATTTAATTCAGGTACTTTTTCTTGTTGATGAATTTGAAATTTGCTTGAATTTATTGAATTAATATTCATACTAAGCACATTTAAATGCATTGCTATCAAGATAGGTCTCCTTTACTAGGATTTTTCTTCATTGTTCGTGAACTGCTTTCTCCCAGTATGCATAAGTAAGCAATATCTCAGCAGCATCTTTTGTGGTTAGTGCTTCGAAAAATCAGATAAGATAATCATATCTTCGCCTTCACAATCAATAATTTTGTGACAAACGAGTATTATATGTCACATTTTAATTCATCGCTGTAATATACGTTCTTCTTTTGATAGTTTTTCCTTATGCTAACTTTATCAACCCAATTTTATCATAAAGTCTTATTATGTGTTTGATTATATAATATTTAGCCTGGATTAAATTTAGAAAATTCACTTATTTGTTACTTCCAGAAGCTTTTTGCTAGTCAACTAATTTATGGGTGTAATTTAACTTTCGAAGTTTTGAAATATTTCATTTCTTATTTAATTTATCTTTCACTTTCTTTTAATCTTGTTAATAGTGCTTTTTCACTATGCTTCATTATATTTACTATTATTACTGTTTTAAGCAGTTACGAATTTCATGCAACATTCAAATTCATTGCGGTTAGCTATTTTGATCTCATTGGTTTTAATGTGTGTTATTGTCTTTACTGAGTTTTGAACTCGTATTCAATCCTTGTCCCTAATGACTTCAAATCTGTTTGATCAGTCCATTGTGCTCTCATAATGGACTAATTTATCGGTCATTGCTTATGCAGTTTGCTGCAGATATACATATTTTATTTTATCTATTTATATGATTTAATCAAATGCTTCGAATATTGCCTTTCGAAAGGAGATAATAAAGGATATCTACAAAATTTTGTTATCGTTGACAATTAATTTGAAATCATTTATATTTGAAACTACATATTTTGATAAATAGCGACTTTCATTACTTATCTATTTATTTCAAATATTAGGAATTTGATCTTAGTTGTTTATCGGACCTAAAATCTGTGTGTCCATATGGTCTAGCAAAGTGTTAAAGTAATGTTAGGCAATATCCTCAACTGCAATATATCTAATGGAGTTTTTGAGCTTCGAAGTGCTTAAGAATAATATAGACATGGTAGTTCATTCGGTAAAGATGTCTCTCCATTTATCTTGAAAGACTTAATATCCCTTGTGTTTTAGAAAGATTAAGTTCGCACGATACATTTATTTCTAATAAGCCAGCGGCCTTGAGGCTTTACCACAACAGGCTACAATTGCAACTTTGTCAGTAAGAGGGGAAATTCAATTGCTAAATTTTGAACCAGATTTGAATGTAGTACCGTTACATGGAAATGTAATAATTAGATTGGAAAACCACAATTTTGATGGAATAATTCTAGCTGAAGTTGGGCTAATAAGATTGAAAAAATGTGCTCAATTAGAGGAACTGAAGTACAATTTGAGTGATCTATATAGTAATTGAACCTTAGCATTATAATGCCAGAAACTACCATACAGCTTATTCGTGTAATAAGGACTTCGAAGGAATTTTTTTGCTTTAATTTAGGTAATCTGATACAAGATTAATTTCAGGATATTAAGGGAATGCGTATCTATAACTGTTTCCAGCATTTGCCATATGCATTCGAACAAGTTGCAACAGTATTCTGGCATCGGTATCCGAATGCATGCGCAAAACATGTCATAAGCGAAGATTTCATCGAAGTTGCGGTTAGTAAAGACATTCAAAACTTTTGGAGATCTTACTGGCTATTGTGTTTTTCTAATTTGTCTGTTCCTTATGCACCATCGGCTCGTCCTACCGCTTAGTATGTCGAATATGTTTACGAATCTGTTTTAAACATGGTAACGTGTGCGTAGATCACCTAGTGCCATTAATTAAATTATTTTCCTTAATTCATCTCTTAATAAACTGCTGGAGTATTTTTCGCATCAAATTAAATTTATGCAAATAATATACAGGAAATTTATGCACAGAGAAGTTTAAGATATGTGCATTGCTTATATATGTAGACCAGGACTTCGTTACACTTATGGGATTGCTAATATTTCTTGCAGTTTTCAGGTAGATGGCGATCAGATCAGGACGAAAAAACTGATACTGAAACAAACAGGAACATTCTTGAAAGCAGTTCCAAAATGGATGTCGCGTTTGACGAATGTCAGGGTGTGGTGAATTAGTATTTTCATTTGACTACAAAATTTTATGATTTTAAATCGATTTTTAGAACAATTTTTCTTTGAAACAGGTTTCGAATTCAAAACCGTGACCATCTAATAATGCAAGCAAAATTTTGATACACTCATAGATATTTTCTTTACACGAACCTTTATAGGTTGTACCCACAGTTGAGGAAAGTATATTCGATCGAAGTAAACGATCTTTAGTGACTTATACGAGAAATATCACACTGTTATCTGCTTGTAAAATTCATGAACGTTGTGTTTACAAATCGGTATTTTTTTCATTATGATAATTTAGCTCATCGTTTTTTGTAGTTCATTTTTTAATTGCTTCATTGTAATACTCATTTTCCTTGTTCTGCTAAGTTTTTTGAACATGGATTCGATTTATGTTAAATTCAGCTTCTTCCTATGATGATATTCCTCATGTTTCCTGGAATCTATTCAGTTGCAATAACAGAATTTATTTTATTTTTATAAAGTAGTTTATATTTAATGATTTCAACCAACATATAAGTTTAATTAAAGGATTTTTAAAAATTTTCCTCAAAAGGGTTTCAAAAACGGAGTGCCAGAAACGATTGTGGAACGCGGTGGTTTTGTGTCGACCTCATTTGGAAAGTTGAATTTGGTAATTGAACGCGTTTTGATGGCAAATTTCAAAAAAAATATGAGGAAAACAGCAGTTGTTTTTATGGAAAAGTTGATAAAAAGGTTGTTTTGATCGTGTTTTCTTTATTATTGATGGATGATTTATTATATTATTATACGACCCATTCCCCTCTGGGAATAACAGAATTTTTTTCAACACTTAATCCTGTGCATCTTCTTGGTGTACTTAGATGCATTGAACCTCGTATTAACTTTTTAGATACCACGCAGTAATATGAGCCAGAAGTAAGATCATTTGATTTTACAGATTTGGTGAACCCGCACTGGCCAGTCACAGAACCGGTGAACCGCATCTTATGAGGCAGAAGATTAATCACTCTAACTATTCCACACAGGACTGAGTTTTATGATTATGTCTCTTCCTTCACAATTCCAATTTCTTCATAATCACTTATTAATATCATGTGTACGACCTCAGGTTTAATCATGTATTGGTCTGTTTTCTCTAAATCCTGTTCTATTTATTGTTTTTTTTTTTTAATTTATAAAACTTCCACCAAGTTTTTCAGTCCTTCGTATTTAAAAATGATGAAGCAATTCAGAAGCATGTCGCGGTGTGAGTTTGCAACTTTTGTCTCTTTACTGAAATTCCAAATTGCTTTTCATTTTTATTTCTTTCTCTGCTTAGAAGTCATTTTTCTTCCATGGTGGCTCTTTCCCTCCTGCCAGATTAAAGATTTACAATTCTTTATTTGTTGCGCTTCATTTGTCTTTCAATTTAAAATGTCTTTTAAATTTTCCGTTTTCTTGCAAGTCGTACATGTTAATGATATCAAAACACTTTTCATTAAAAGCTGTTTTTTAAGACTTTTTATTAATGTTCATTGGTTATTCCGAACCGTGAAAAATACATGTAACAAAAAATTTTTTACCGTATTACTGGTCATTCGTTTAAGAAATTTGACCTTATCGATAATCTAGATATGAGTGTGATAATATTGCGAGTATTTCATGTGTCAGGTTTCAGGTTTTAGAAAACCTGTTCCAGGGTGTAAGCTAGGTAATCTGAAAAAAAAAATCACAGAAATTAGAATGTCGCCTTATGCAGTGATATAGCGCTTAAGAAAAAGAGATCATGATGTCAGAGTTAAGCTATTAAATCTAATATATCTATTAAACAACTTGAATGAGTTTAATCAGTACTTTTATTTTTTCAGTGGCAAAATAATTTCGTAAAACTCAAGAATTTAATTTTTTTCGCAATCAGAACTGATGGAAAAATAAACTGCATTCAAGGAGAAGTGTAAAAGGCAAAAGGGTAATTAGTTCGATGAATCCAACGAATTTAGCAATATTTCGAGGAGTCTGTCTAGCTGGTCTTATCTCGCTTTTACATTGTGCCTATTCAGCTGCACAGGTTTGTAGCTTTTATATTATTCAAAGGCAGTTTTGAAATCGCTTGAAGCTATGTACAGTTGTGTTGAAACATTCATGAAATTTGTCATTTTATAAGTAGCTTTTATGGCTTTTGCAAGTTTCATCGCAAGAGAATAATAGTTCTTCCAACTACCTTACTGGTATTCATACATGCATGAGAAATACACATAAGAAATTTATCAAGGCGCTTGATATTGAAAAGCAAAATGGAAATTTGCACGTGGAAGCAATGAAGTACAGTCATCGTCAAACGATGTTTTGCAACGCTGCTAATTTAGTAGTCACATTGATCTTACTGAATTAGATTATGGGTGAAATCTCGATCTAAAAATCAGTAGATTTCAGCATTATTCCTCTTCTAATGTTTTTAGTGTAGTGACCATAAATTCAAATAGGCATTATCAGATAAACTTGCGGTTTCAAGGGACAATACTATGTGAAGTTAATTATTATTTTTAAAGTGACAGTTTTTTCTGATTGTGATTAGCATTAATATTAAGGATTAAATGTCACTCTAGTTTTTCCAAATAAGTATCGGTTTGTTTGCTATTAACATTTTCTAATTCTTAGTAATGTTTCAAGCTAACGGTCATTAACTAATGAATAATTTAACTGGAATAGATTAACGGTTAGTGCTATGAAATCTTTCAAGAAATCGTGAATGGCTACAGTGTATCTATCTATACCATTAGACCAGTGGTGTGGATTATTGCTAGCATTATACTTTTTATTTTTTAGCAACGTTGTTACAAAACTAAGTATAAGAAATTTTGATGTCATATTTCTTAAAGTTCCTGGATTAAGATTGATTGTAATATTTATGAAAGTTTTTGCAGCATCGATTTTATTTACGATTAACGGAACAACCGTTCACGCGATTACCTCTTGATATTGCAGTACAAACAATTGTAAGCTTAATTGCATTCGTTTATAGTGCCACTTGTATTGCCGGAGAATTTCAACCAATCCGTTCTGATTTGCAGGTTTGCCATTGCTACTCTCGGCAACTTACATACATTAGTTCTTTTAATAATATTTTTTCTTTCAAAATTTTTAAATATTTCGTTTTGCGCTTTGGATATAAAAAAGAGTAAAGGCACTATATTCACTATTAGTAGCCGCATTAGTAGGCCATATAGCATGATTACACCGTTGATGATTTGGAATAAGCAGGTTGTCAAAACTAAAATTTCGAAATTGCTAAAAAATTTAAATAAGATGATTAAATTTATTTTTAATCAATTTTGTGATATGTGGAATTAAATGATAAATGCCTAATACTTTTTTTCGAAGTTGTTAATGCTGAGTGGTTTTAGAATCGTGCAAAATCATGGGATACAGTTGGAAACTGCCCATCATTTTATACATTCGACCATCGTGCAAAAACTCTTTCACCATCATACAGCGACTCATCCCAACAATACTGCGATTCTTCACTGGTTATTTTTTAGAAGTTAAAACATCATTTCTTTCGACTTAAAAGTTTGGTTTTCAATTTCAGTTGTGTTTTTCAAAGTTTTATATTCAAATTTAATAAATGGGACTAAGAACAATGAGAAGCGCTTATATTAGAAATCTGGAAGAAGACATAGGAAGCTGATGTAAGCAGTTAACGGCTAATATAGGCTTTAACAGAATTTTCACTTGTCTTTTGTTTTTCCTCAGCTTTTGTAAAGTATTCCGAATCCTTATATTTTAAATAACACTTTTTTTATATTTTTAAAGTTACTAAAAATGTGTCTGCATTTTTAAAGTTACTTTACTGAATATGTTAAGATACTTTGTTTAGTTTTCTTGTGACAACATTTAATGATTGGTATTCAATGGTGTTAACTAGTAAGCTAAAATATCAGAAAAGAAAGAATAGGCTAATTCTTAGTACACTGCTTTCTGCATCCTTACAACAAATAAGATCTAAACAGAAAAATCTCAATTTTATTATTTTACTCATAATTTTTTTTGCCATATTTGTTTAACTTTCAACTTATAGGATCCGTCATTATCGACAATCGGAGATGGAGAATTTTTTCATCGCGACAGTTGATCATTAAATATTCGACATTATTCTCTTCTATGCCTTTTATGCCTTATTATGTATGTTAGTAGATTTCTTGATTTCTTAAATCAAAAAAGGGAGATTTTCTAAGATTATAAAATTTTAATGCCGAAATCACATTTTTGATTATTTCCTGAATCATGTCTTATGGATCGTAATTTAGATAATAATTACTTCATACGAACGAAAAGCGGCGTCATTTGCGGCCGTTATCTCTAAGTGTATCGGGAATGATATGCCTACAAAGTCTTCAATGGGAAAAGAAGGATCATCGCAACGAACTCCGCAATTAAGACCTCTTTCCAAAAAGGTAATGAATCTTTATTGGTTAAAGGGTTACTCTAAATTTCTTTGCAATCCTGAGAAAAATCTGTTCACAACAATAAATGTTATTAAGTATGGAAACAATGATGAATTACCTGTTATCATTTCTGTTGCCCCAGAATTATAAATTAATTACGATATTTTTTTTACTTCGGTATTAATTTAATTTGCAGCACTATAGTTGCTTTTCGCAGTACTTGATTCAAATGGTTCTTTATTTATGCAGTCAGTGTTGCAACATTTTTAAGGTGTTTCAGTATTCTTTATAATGCCTGAAAAAGAAAAGGAATATTGATCATAATTGTCTAGTTAAAACGTCATTTTGTGCTTTTAGGTAATAAGCGAATCCCTTCATCAATGTTTACAATTGACTCGTGAGCGAGACTATACAAATTATGTTGCCGGATTGGTGATGCCGTCGGAAATCCAACCCGCTTTGTTTACTGTAAATCTTTTGCTTCTGCCTTTCTCTTTCAATGGTTTAATGGAATTAAAGGAATTCTTATAGTGCGCGTTATGAACATATAGTTCTGAAGTCTATTTGCAGCTGCTGGCTTTTAATGTTGAATTAGCTGTTATTCGAAACCAAGTTGTTCGTAACTCAGGACTTTCCGGAATATATCGTTTGCAGTTCTGGAAGGATACATTAGATATTTTATATGGTCAAGCGAACGGACCATTGCCTCGGTAGTTTGTCTTTTTTTAAGCTTCAAATCCAAATGTGTATTTTCAGAGTTTAATTTTTCTGATAATTATATCCGATGATCAAACAAGTTTCAGACAACCAGTTGCAGTAGCTTTAAGTCTCTTTGGACATCGTTTTGATGAACATTTACTGCGAAATTTGATTACTGCAAGGCAAAGAACGTTGGGCGATCGTCCATTTGATTCTCTTAACGATGTCAAGAAATATGGCATCGAAACTACAGGCTCCGTAACTCAACTGATAATGCATTTGCTTTCCGGCTCTCATGAGGCTAATGCGATACTGCTTTCTGAAGAAACAATCCAAGCAGTGGAATCAATGTCACATGCTGTTTCAGTTATTACTTTAATCAGGTACATATTTTTAGCGCAGAATTTCGATTTAAATTTTATTTCAACTTCAAATTTTAATTTTAATTTTTTATAGAAACTTCCAGATTTTTCAAAATTTTTATTGAATTTATACAGATCGATAATGCCATTACTGGCAAGAGGGATCTTCCTACTTCCGAATGATCTAATGGAGAAATATCAGTTAAGTGCAGATGACGTATTCGGGAATAAAAAGCAGAATGCATTGCGTGATTTAGTCAAGGAGCTTACTAATGTTAGTTTCTTGAAATTTTATTTTATTTCGTGAATTAGTCTTTTAATGTATCATTGTAAGAAAGCAGTATAATCCCTCATGTAATCTTCTTCAAGATAAGTTCAAGATTAGAAATACTACAAATAAGAATCCTGATTATTCAGTTCATTGCCATTTGTTGATAACTTTTCTAAGGAATGGGTGATCCTTTATTACTCTGCCAAGTTGTTTAATTAACTGATTAATCCATTTTCTCTCTCATGACCCATTTAGTTGGTCTCATTTTGTGGGTATTTTTAACTTTTTGAATTTAAAGATAGCAGAGGAAGAACTTCTAAAAAGCAGACAATATCGTGAAAGCATCCAACCAAACCTACGACTGGCGCTTATGGCAAGCGGTGCAACGTTGGATCACTTAGTGAAAACGCTTCATAAGAGCAACTATAATTTACTAAATACACAACTTCAACATGGATACGATCTTCTTGCGTGGCGTTTTTGGTGGCGTAAGTTGCTCGGTCGATACTGACACAGTTGGAAAGAACAAGACTATCCATTCTCGAGCTCAACTTCTTAGAGCATACTTCATTCTTTTACTTTTTAGAAATTCCACTATCCCAATGTTCTTCTTAGTCATTCATTACTTTTATGTTTTCCTTTCGTGCTCTATTTTTGTTTTTTTTTCGTATTTCTTGAACTTTTTCTTGAATTACTTTAAGAATTAATTTTGAAGATTCATATATTTTCAAGCTTTTCTAAATTTGGCTATAATGAATATACTTGTTCAATCTTTTTGATTCATTGCAGGATGATACGAAAGCATAGTTTTTTGTATTTTTTCTTATAGCCAATTTTGTTGAGTGAATACTTTTGAAAATAATAGATTTTGTTGTAGTCAATAGTACTCGACATATTGCATAAACTTATGATGCACTCGTACTGTTATATTACTATTTCCCCACCTAATAAATGTTTTGCGTGAAAGTAATGCCTTCTTATTTCCGGTACTTATTTATTGCTACCTAATAAATGTTATTTGCTGAAAGTGATGCCCTCTTGTTTCCGGTGTTTATTTATTACTCTCTATCAGTAATGAACAATGTAACAATTAATCATATGAGATGCGATCAGAGTTGAAATTGATCATATGATTATGGTCAATAACGTGTTGAAAGAGTTGTGATTCTTTCCTTTTGTTTTGATTAGAAACCGAAATTTTTTTTTACTAAATACTTTATTGAACTTTCATGAATTGAAACTAGAAGTTTACTTTCATATTTTAAATTAAATTTTAGTGTTTGACAGAATATAATGAACTTATGTATATGTTATCCTTTATTGGGGTCACGAAATAAGATTGTTAAGAGCAAATGGCAAGAGACAATGTGACAAGACATAAATGTGAAAGTTTCGCGGTAATTAGGAAAATGCAACTGCATAGTAATGATTGATTATATTCAGTTAATTTAAGCTATCGATAATGTAAAATAGGAATCATATTTTTATCAGGTCACAAATTTGCTTTAAGAAAACATACGTAAAATCAGATTGATGGAAGTCTGTGTAACGAAATGAGTTTTTCTTATTCTTGTACAATTATTAAATATTTTAATTTTCTACAAATTGAAATTGATCATTGAATTGGAATCAATTTTTCAGAAATTTCATTTTTTACAATTAAAATTGATTACGCACATTAAAGATAATTGTTAGAAATTCCAGTTTTTTGCAGAACTTAAAGTTTTGGTGGAGAAATATGGGTAAAAGTAATAATATTTCCAATTGGACGTACTGAAAACATTTGATGAAATAATGTTTTGCAAAATATTCGTCGATTTTTCCTTACTTTCCATCTGTTGGTTCTAAAAATTTTTTTCTGACATATCAAGTAACATATTTATCTTATTTATCGATTTTTAGGCTATAGTTCTAAAGTTAATAGAAAAATTTTTTTTTCATTTAAGAAAATCGATTATAAAATAAAAAATCTAATAAAACATTGTACTATTTGTAAATATTAGCTAACTTTTTCACTGTATTTATCAATAATCTTCTTTCTATATTTCATTTCGCTACATTTTAATGTGCAGTTGAAATTAGATGGTAAGCAATCATTAATAAAAAAAAGTGGAATAATAGTTATTCCTGTCGCCCATTTTTTAGTATTTTTAATTATTGTTGCACTTCTATTTTGTGTATCAAAGTTAATTTTTTTCTCTTTCTTCACTGATAATTTCAAGAAAAATTTTACTTGCGATCATAAGATAGTACGAGAAAAAACTTTGATCGTGATTCTTCGAGATTATTAAGTAAGCCTTAATAATATTATTTTATCGTATAATATGGTAATTACAAGTAGCAAAATGGATTATGAAACAAATATTCTCAAATCTTTCAAATAAACTTCATAGCACAAGAAATTAATGTCATATTTTGAATTCAATATTTATTTAAACATTGATCACTCCAATTATTCAATAGATTACTGTGGTTCAATTTATACGAAAATACTGTATTTCTGGCATTGAACGCATTACTGTTAATTTTCCGGTAATTGGCGTTTCTGTTCCTCGTTAAGTTTTTTTATTAGATTAACAATTTGCTTTTTCTAACTGATTTTTATTTGTATAAGCTTAATTTGTATTCGGAAATTATAGTTATATTTTCTATTATCCAAATATTATTATCGTATGTTGGAATGCTATCAGTGACGTGGATAACGATAATTGGTTTGCGGTAATTCATTTTATAAGCAAAGACATTCGGTTTTTATCATCATTTTTTTTTCTTTTTGACAAAACATAATGTTTACACAATCCGTCAGCAACCTATTCGGTCGCTTATCTAATAAAATGCAAATTAATTGTAAGACTTTTTATGTTAAGTACGACTGATGAAAGAATTAATGAAGTAATTTATTTTGTATCTATTTTAATTTGCTGCGTCCAAATCAATATCACTTGTTATACATTACCGGATTGCGACAAGTTGATATTATATATTCAATTATTACCAGTTATAATAAGAACCTTTTCCAATTTTTCATTTCCATTTTATTTCATCGACCCAATGGTCGATTTTCTTATTATAATGTGATTAGTTGCTTATTATTTCTTTGGCTTTTTTGATTAATTTCAGTAAAATAATTATTTACGGATTATTTTGTCAAACTAATCAATGAAAGCATTCTTTAGCGAGTACTGCTCAATTATAATAAATATCGATTGGAAAAATATATACGAAATATTTTTATATTGTTGGACTTACTTTCGCTTCTGTAAATAAATACACTCATTTTTCGGGTGGAAAGGATTTGTAGCATTGAATAATTTTGTCTTTGCTAATCTTTCATTAAATTTCTACAGCAACATTTTATTAATATATTAGAATTTGAAACATATAGCATTCGATACTAATGATATAGTTCTTAATCGAAATTAGCTTACCTTTTAATTGGATTATTTCTGAAAAAAATTCAAATTAGTTTTGGAATTTAACTATTTTGCAATTTAATCAGGCGTTTTTTAACCAGTGTTGATTTTTTTATTTCAAAATTTATAATTATAACAATAAAAACTGCACTACACATGAAATTGTCAGAAATTTCGTTAATATTTTTCGTTTCATGAATAAATAAATGATATATGACTCATACCATAAACAGATCGATAAAATCTTATCTCCCAAATAATACTAATCATTCATTTATAACATGATAATTTTACATTTTAGGGATCACTAACAAATAAAATTCTCATTTTTTGTGTTAAGAATTATTATTATGTGTCAATAGAGGCATTGAATGCTTTATTTGTGATGTAAATAACTATACAAATAAAACGATTGCAAATTTTTAATGTTTTAACAAATGAAGTCGATGGTAGATTTCTTTTAAAACAATTAAACAAAATGCAAAGCAGTGCAAAGTAAGGCAATTAAGATTTAAATTTTATATATTTATCCACTCCAAAAATTGGGATATCCACATCCTTCAGCAATTTATTTAAACTTAAGAATGAAAAGTTATTTTTCAATAAAGTGATTGAGAAATTTAAATACGTTTTGGAGATGTAAATTTTAGAATCACGATGAAAATTCATGTGCAGTTGTTAGAACTTACTACCATCTTAAAATTTCATTATGTTGATGTTGCATTTTGCGCATGGTAATGTAATCATCAATAATTTTAATACATGGGATCTCTTTGAGGAGGTAAAATTTGAGGTACGGAATTTTTTAAGGCAAGACATTGAAAATAAAAACACAATAATAACACATTAACAGTAATGGTACCTTTTTGCATGAATTTAGCCAGCTGTTTTGTAGCTAATCGAATATTTGCTTTTATTATATTTCATCCAACGTTAACATATGCCATCAGTTGTAAATTCTATTATTTCCTCATTTTAAGTATGCCTTAACTCATTTTATAATTTCTCTAGCAGTAACCGATAACTCAGACTTTTTCTTTCCTTTCTTTTATTAATTAATGGAATAGATTACGATGAAGTTTTACAGTCAGTAATGTCATTATTATCCGATGTTTCAACATCGGAATCTACACCGTGTACAACCTGATCTTCCAACAGTGTTTGGGTAGCAACTGTTGCCAGCCGTTGTCCAATTTCATTATCCAGTAACAATCTATTTGGCATGGTCACGGTACTTTTACGTACTGAATAAGTTGGAATAGCGCCACGACTATATATATTTGCAAGAGCATTACGGAGCTGAAAATGAGAAACAAAAGAAAGAATTTGCTAGTATTTAAAAGTAAGTTTGTAGAAATAAATATTCATTTTGTTTTAACTTTGTAAATTTCTTCTTTTTGAATGGAAGAATCATATAAAAAGTTGTCCTTTTTTGAAAAACTTCAAAAATTCTTAATTTTTTTTTTCAAAACTGGCAAGAAATGACAAGATAAAAAACCTCTTTAATCGAAATTACACCCATAAGCTTTCCTCGATTTGTGATATAGGCATGATTAAGACCGAGTAACGAAAACAATGTATGCACCTGAAAAATTAAACCTTATCATTGTCAGCAAATAATTATCATCATCACCATCATAACATTAGTGATTTGAAATTGAAATTGGTTCTTATGATGTGTTAAATCATCAACGATTAAAATTTATATCAATAGCTTAACTTTTTCCTAATTTTTACTTTTATCATTTTTAATGTTCTTTTTTAAATAAATCCAAATTTCATTGATTTATTGTCAAAATTAACAGCTATTTTATTATATTGCTATAAAAGGCAAAATTTAGAAAAGTCATCAGTAAGCAAAATATTTGACTGTTTGATACCTGATCAATCAAAAAATTAGAAAGCTAAAGTATATTCACTGGTGTACTTACTCGATAGAGTGATGTACCGAGAACAAGTTGAAATGGTGCCGGATCGATGGCAATTTCATCCAAATTGATAGGATGTTGTAAAATGTATGCACGCTGGCACACATTCAAATTTGTTACCTAAATTTTGCAATTTTGATGAATTATGCTAGCATAATTTCAGTATTCATGCTACAGCACTATAACAAGAAAATATCGATGACAATTTCAGAGTTGATGAAAACTGTCAATTTTTCAACTGGCTTCTGGTCATACAATCTTAGAGTTTTATAAATCATTTATAGCACTTTTCATGTCTTCTTTTTTCTCTTAATTTCATCAGAATTTAACTCATTTCTATCAATTCATTCTTCTTTCCTATACCAATTTCAAATTAGCCATTCATTTGAGGGGACAATCAAAGCACGGTGATTATTTCACTGATGAAATCATATCCGAACATTTTACCTTAAATATAATGAATTGAGATGCAGTATGTGATTTTTTGAGAATAACTTCTAAAATATGACTCACCATTAATTGCTTCTTCAATTATTCCTTTTTTAACTCATTATAAATTATTTCAAATCAAGTCCTATAACTCTTCGTTTCACGTTAAATTTTCAAATCATTTCGTCGAGCTCATAATTAATTTGAATTAAAAGGCAATGAATAGGTAACGAAGCTCACATGATGCTCAATATCTGCATGACGTTGAAGTAATGGTGCTAATGGACTCTCTGTAAAATGAAATAAAATATAAATTTAAAATTCTTCAAAATGTTTGATTTGCTTCCTTTAGTTATTGGAAACAATAAAAAGAAAGCAATTGTTAGTTCTTTTCACTATCAAAATGAACGAAAATGATCACCGATGACATTTGATTATTTGTCACCTATTTGCAGCCTAACTTTTCAATCTTTTTTATCAATTATTATAATTACCTCCATCGTGATCCTCATGCAATGGACTATTAGCAAGTAGCGTATTACCACTAATATTCCGGTTTGTTAATAAGTTATTAGTACTTAGTGGCGAATTCCGTCGTATATGAAGTAATAAATCAGAGGTAGTGTTAATCCGCTTTCGATCAGTCATTGAGTCTGGACCTAGCTTTTCGTACAATAAATAATTCAAATATTTCCGTGCTACTGAACCAAGCAAAATTTTCGTTCCTGAAGTTGTACAACATTTCAAACTCTTTTTCAACTTGGAGAATACATTTTAGTCAAAATAAATACTTAACGCAATAAATATTACAGAATTTTTGCAAGACTTTAATAGGATTTGTGAAGAAAATGATTGGATAACGTGAATCTCATATGAAAGTTAAACACAGTAAAGGTAATTAATTTACTGATAAGAACTAACTGGAATCAGTGACAAGCGGATACGATCGCAAATGAGGTGTTGCTAACAAAAGTTCTCTGAGTTCACCATACGTTGTAGATTTTGTTATACACAACACATTATGGATCATCACATTTTCAACTTTTAGCTTATGAACGCTAAAAAGTGAAACTTAAATGCAAATTTTAATTTAAAATTCCAAAAAGACCAAACTGTGCCTAACATCGCTTGACAGCTTAATATTACCACCTAACATTTTCTTATTTCAAAATGAAACTCCTCCCACCTCTGTTCCTTTCCTTCAAATCCAGTCTGATTCTTCAAACGTTCCCGATGAAGTATATCAATATATGATTATTTAAAACGACTTATAAACATCATTATAATCCCTTCTCCTTTTGATCATTTATGTTAAGATTGAGGAGAGCAACTTACAGCTGTTACAATAAATTATGTCTTTTGAGCAATTACCTAATCCGAGAAGGAGGTAAGTCAGCTAAGTGTGGCAAATTTTTGATTTTAATTATGCTCTCATAAATTGATGGTTGTAGAAAACTACTTATTGCATTACCAATCATTAAAGCAATCTGAAAAAAAGAAAACATTTCCTTCCTTTAAAAATACAACAAAAAAGAAGCCTGATTAAATTGAATTTTTTAAAACTATTTTCTAACATGATGAATAAGTGAATAAATAAACTAGACATCATTATTTTTTTAAAAATTTCATAAGTTTATATGGTAATGATAAACATACCAGTTAAACACGCAAAAAATCTGCAGGCCATCATTACTAACAACTTTGAATTAAAATTTAAAAGAATTAAAAGATTAGAAAGGTAAGCGATTAGATTAATGATTAGAAAAATTAATGAAATTCTAAATTCGCGATACAAAATAGATAACAGACCAGTACTGGTAGTAAAGGTGAAAGTTGACCTGTCGTTTCGCATACAATAACCGCAATTGAAAGTGAATGTGTCACCGATCCTGTATAAGCTGCTGCTCCTAAAATAAGCAAAATTCTATCACTAATTTTAGTGAACTGCAAAAAAAATACTATTTTCTCTCAATTCTCCATGAATTTCGATGTGTCATTTACTTATTAGTAAGAGTAGAATAGGTGTAATTATTTATTAATGATACATTGTGCTTATCATAGTATTATTTATTTAGTTCCAAAATTAAATTACAATAAAAGTCAAATCAACTTTTTCGTTAATATATACTTAAACAAAGAATGAGAAAAAAAGAACGCAAAAACATGAACAAATAAATACTAAAGAATTATTTTATCATTGAAAGAGGAAAGCGAACCGACAACAGCATAAAGTCCGGGAAAAATTTGTGGACCATCAGAACCTCGAAGTCCTTGAGGATATAACAATGCCATTATTTCACCAACCAAACGACCACCACATGCACCAATAACGAAGGAAGGTACAAAGATACCGGCTGGTACCGCCAACGATATGCATATTGCAACGAGGATAAACTGAATTGCTAAACAGCTTACAGCCAATCTATTAACTTATTGTTTGCAAATTATCGCCAATAATTATTACAAATTTTAATTTTCACACATATTTCTATGTTTTTTGTAAAATCTTTCTTATCTGAAAAATTTCATTTTGAAAACTCCATTGAAAAATTAGAATTAGAGTTTGTTTGCCTTTTTTCTTTTTTTCTTGAAAATAAAACTGGTAAAGCAAGAAAAATTCAGAGATAATGCGACATTTTGAGTCTCCAACATATAAATCATTAAATCATTAGAGTGAAGCAAATAATCTTAATTTCGTTTCTATTCCTTATTGCTGTTATGCAAATAATTACAGAAATATGGAAAAAATATATTTACAAGTAAAAATAAGCGATAAAAGAGAAAAAAACATATGATGAAATGATTTTAACTGCCAGTTATTATTATTCATTTACTCTTTTTTAATTTTTGCAAAATACTATTTTTTCATTGTTAGAAACGAAGCTTCAGTTATATTGTTGCTTTCTTTTTCATTTAAAAAACACTACTATAAATTCATTTGTCGCATGATAATTAAAAGAAAAACTTACATAAATACAAAAATAAATTGCCAAATTGCTTAAAATATTAAATTCATGATTTATTCCAGTCCAATGCTCTAATTGTTCCTTGGAACAACCTTCTTCTGTTATATTTGATAACGTAAATGTGCAATTTGCAATGAAATCTGCTAATGTTTTACGAAATGTAAACTAAAAAAAAGAAAAAATTTTGAACAAAATTAATATATTAAAAATTTTTAAACAAATTTTAAATGTATGAAATGAAGTTATTTGGAACAATGCTTTTAATTGGTCGCAGTTATTAATAAAGTATAGCAATTTCTTATTTATATACCATAAAATGATAACGATAATATTTGATAAGATGTGCAGTGAAACTAAGTGAATCAATGATGAAGATATTACGTAGGTAATAACGTTAATTAATTATGCTTACTTTTCCAGCAAAATATCTTCCGGTGCCATCCGGACATGTAAGTATACCAACGACAGCAGCCATGAAGAGTGTAAAAAATAGTGGACTAGAAATAGCAGGAAATTCAAAATTTCTTGGAACGAATTATTTAAAAACAAAATGAAATTAATGAGATGCTTAAAATAATTTATAAACCATCATACTTTTTCCCAAAAATACGTAGATATAAGCGATTATTCTCCCTGAATATAGCAATTCGTCCATGTATGAATACGAACAATGCACCCAACAAACCCGACAATACTCTGAAAATAAGAAGTAATAATGAAAGATGTGAAAGAAGTAAAAATTGATGCAAAATTTTTGTTAAAACGTTAACACACTACTAATTTGGATAATACCAAATTGATTAGAAAAGTATCATAAAAACGAAGCAATTTTTAATGATATCCAAACGAGAAATAATTTAGATAAAAATATAAAAATTCATGTTTTTGGTAGAAATTTGAATCTTTCGCTCAGTTTTTAAAATTTAATCACTGCAAAAATGAACGTATACCCAATAAGAGCGAATACCGGCAATTCTTCGACAACAAATACTGAACTTGGGAAGTAAGTTTGATAATATGCTGTTAGAGTACCTGCTGAAATATGAACAGTGAGAAATTTTAATCAAAAAGAAGTAAGTATTGTAGTACTGGAAATGTTAATTGAAACTCGAGCAAAGCTACAAAATTAGGTTCCAAAATTTGAACTTCGAACTTTCGAAAATAAGATTTTGTGACCTATTTTTGAGACTTTACATGATTTTGTTCACATAAAAGTTCCACTGCCAATTGGGAAGGAATGAAATAGTATTTATAAAAAAGCAGAGCACGTATTGAGAAAAAATATATCTGAATATGAACTACATTCTTTGTATATTATATTTTATTTGTTAAGTTTTTCTAAAAAAATTAGGTGTAAAGTAAACTATAAAAATTTTCAAATTTTTTAAAATTCATTGTCATGTAATTGAATTTTCTGATCTGAAAAGACTGAAAATTATATAAAATCGGATGAAAACTCAAACCATTTTCTGGAGGTAGAACAGCAGCATTAGCAAAACGAAAAATAAGTGCGCTGCATGTCGTTGCAAAAAAGGCTCGCCAATAATTTCGGACAGCAAAAAATCTTGATGTCGATTCGATACCGTACAGTACCGCTGCAAAAATATTCCACTACAAAATTTGATGAATTGAATGAAACTTTTAACAAATATCGAATTGTTATAGATTTCTGATATTTCCGATATTTCCGATAATTGTTTCCGATACAATGTAATATTTTCAACTTTAAATACAACCTAATTTAATTTGCTCGAATTTTTGGCTTAATAATAATTTCAATTTCATGTCTATTTAATTAATTTTGACATTACACCATTTATTTTCTTTATGTGTTTTCTTTATCTTTCGAATATATTTATTTATTGCTGATAAGGAAAGTAGATAAAAAGTATACCACCGGCAGGTGCTGAAAATGTGCAAGCGATACCAACCGCACATCCCGATGAAAGCATTTGCATTTCACGGCCTTCACTCGAGAAGAATGCTTGATATCTACAGATGGAAGTAACGCGCGTCAAAAGTGACGCCACAATCGCTCCTATGTGTACAAATGGTCCCTGAAAAACTTCAAATTTTCCAAATTTTATAGGAAAAGTGAGTTTCGGAAACACTTCCCCGTTTGAAATTGGCTCATTTTTAAAATTTCAGACTTTTGTAACCTCATATTAAATAATGAAATAACATGCAATAGCTATTTAAATCAAAAAAAAGGACTCGAACCTCTTTACCGACCGGAAGTCCACTACCAAGCGCAAGTGTCAAACCAAAGATTTTTCCGATCATCGTCTGTAGCGACAAATAATTTTTCATTTTAAAGCCGCACATTATAACTTTTAATTCCGGAATACCTGATCCTAAAGAAAGAATTGACATAAATTTTTGCAAAAATAATCTACCAATAAAAAGTGTCATAGATCTCAAAATTTTCAATCATAAATATAATTACTTACCAACAGCTTGCTTTGCAAAACACTGACAGAACAGAGCGGATGCGCCTGTCAGCAAAGTGATGTAAGCTGTCCAGGAGATAAGCGCTGCGTAATAATGATAATTTTTTATGACATGTTCATACAGTACCACACGGTCTAAAATGATGTCAATTCCTTTCATTGTAACGAGAGTGCGTAATCCTGAGAGTATGTTCATTTTTTTTTTTTGAATTACTTCCAGATTTTACATGGTTCAGCTCCTTTTTCATTACATGATGAGAATTTCGATTCATAATTTTTTAGCAAAGACAAATATATAAATAATATTCAAACTAATAGCAAATTTTAATTCAATTATTATTTTATATTCTCATACATTATCAATAAACACTTCAGCAAGTTTGTTACTGTTAGCAATAAATTAACAAAAATTCATAAAAAATTTTTCTATAATATGTAAAGTCAAAATTATTGCATTTTTTTCGAGAAAAGGAATAAATTTCTTAATTTTTCATTTTCAAGAAACTTTTCCTTCTTGTTCCATCGAATATCAACTTTCGTCCTGTTTAAAGAAAATATTATAACTGTTATTTTGTTGCGATCTTTTGTTCAACCGTATGTTTCTCTTTGCCTATCTTCTTTTGCCGCTCACAAATTTTAACTTTTAAACAAACCGCTGTTGTGTTTTCAAATTCAAATTTGAGGCAACAAATTAATTAGTTAATGATTCATTATTAAATGTACATATCGCTTCATTGAATAAAAAAATGATTGAATTCCAACTTTGTTCATAATTAAAATAAATGAATTAAATTACCAACATTCTTGCATATATTCAATACTTATATCCATTGTAATTGAAAGAGCGGCTGTAACGATGCCAAGAACAGCAGATAAGAACCAATCTTCTAGGAAAAAACGCACAGCGTTTCGTAGTTGTCCTTAATTTTTTAAATTAGTTTAAACTTTTTTTCGTAACAACCAAGCGGTTTTCAATCAACTATTATAAAGGTTAATCAGTCCATTCCACTATAAATTAGACATTGCAAGAAATAAGTTCTGAGCTAGTCAATAAACATATATTTATCATGTCTGGTTGCCTCTCGGAAATACTATCGTTTATGACGGTTGGTTTGAAACACGGAGTGAACCATTAAATTCCATTCCATTCATTTCATTCTCATCAAAGACGTCAGGCCCATATTTCACATTACTTTTCCGGTCTACTTCAGTATTCACCAAATTATGTCCTAACAGCCCTGATTAGGGAAAAATTCGATATTCAGCTAATCGAATGTTCATATTATTTGATAATGGCTGGAACCTTATTTAGTAAAAACTGAAGGAATAAATTTCTTTTCTCTCATTTCCTCCTCCTTCCCAGCTTCTTCCCATAAAATTTTTCCAGAAGCAGCAACTGAAAGGATAAGAATTTTTGGGAAGAGAATAAATCAAAAATAGGAAAACACAGACTGTAGCCTTTTTTTAATAAAGTTATTTTATAGCGCAGATAAAATAAAAAACTCGAAGTGTTTTTATCAAATCTTATTTGAAAAATCAGTAAACAAAATGACAAACACTCTCCGTAACACCACAACAACATATTGTCGATTAATTCTTGGATATGACATTTGTTGAATAGGAAATATTAATATGTATCCTTATTTTATTCATTTTTCTTTTTTCGATTTTTAACTTTTCATCGAAAGCTTTCCTTGCAATTTTTTACATTTATTTCTTTGTTTGAATAGTTTTATCATTTGAATGGAGAAAAATGAATAAATGAATGAATAAAATGAACAATGAAAGTAAACTTCTGTTAAAATACCCTTTTATTTACTTCTTTTTCAATAACTTTGATTTTTTTCTCATCATCGTGGTTATTTCCGGATTTGCTTGTTATAGTTCATGTAAGGTCTAACTTTAAAACTCTCAAGTTTAAAGGGATGAATCAGAGGGATAGGAAAAGTTTTAAATTTGGAAGGTAAAGAAATGATAAAAAAGTTGGACTTTTACATGATTGAAACGCGAAGATGATCAGTGATCGTAAAATAACGATGATAATTTGAATAAAACTAACGCCGGAAAAATGCACGGAAAGATTCAGTTCGTTGATGTGAGGCATGACGGAATTCCAGATCGATCGGGTAGCCATCCAGTGGTGCTTCTCCAAGTTCTTCGTCTCCTTCTTCCTCGTCTTTTATATTTTCTTCCATGTCTCTCTTTTTCTCTTTGATCAGTACCGACCTTATTGAAATTCTAAATTAATTGACTTTCTTTCTTAGAAAACGATTTTATCAAATGTTTCCCGAAAGATATACTGCAATATTTCATGTGATAAATAGGCTAAAAAAGTGGCAAAATCATGAACAATGCAACAATTGATCTTATTGATAATTAATGATAATTTAAAAATAAAAAAGTAAAATAGAAATGTGTAACTTAATTTTTGTTCGATAGCATAGACGAGAAATAAAGAGAAAGAGAGAGTGAGAAAGGGAAAAACAGAAAGAGAGAGAAAGAGAGAATAAGGATAGGTAATTTTAAAACTGCTAATTTTCATTAAATGTGAAATGAAAAGGGATTATTTTGGACTAGTGAATGAGATTTGATCGGAATGTGGCCTAAGCAGCGTCATTACATCTGGTTTGATAAGTTGCTATAATCTAGCAATGACAGTTGCTATTGCAATTAGTGTGAATCGATATGTTGAAAAAAACAAAAAAAATCTTCCGATTATTTTTAATGAAAATAATTAATTAAGAAAATACATTGCGGTGAAACAGGTTTGTTGAATATGAATTTCAAAAAAACCGAACTAAATGACAGGTTTGAAAGTTATGAGGTGAAAGACGAAAAATTAATTTTATATATTAGAAGGTATATAAAAAAATGCTTGTACGCGTCTGTTCTGTTTAACATTTTAGTAATTATTTTTCATCAAAAATTTTAACTAAAAACAACAATTCGGAATTTTTAAAAATTCAAGTAAATAAGATATTCAGAATTAAATTCCGTTTCTATGATAATAACGATGCATGATAGAATGAATTCATTGATTATAAGGTAACATGAAAAAGAAAAAAAAAACAAGTAAACTCTTCTATCAGTATGCTTCTGTTCATATTACCATAATACATTCCATTTTAGAATTCTATAATGCAAGTTTTGAATTCAGAAAGAACGACGAAATCAAAAGTCAAAATAACTAAATGTCATTTTAAATTTAAGTTCTAAAAATAGCTGAAGATGTTAAATTTAATGAGATTTTGATATTTCGTTAATATTACAATGACTATGACAAAATTTACACTGACAATGAGTACTTGAAAAAATTCTTTGATTACTGGTAAAACATTGTTTATCGTTTATAAATATTAATTGGTAATTTGTTTGGATGGGTGGTTGGAGGAGAAAAGAGAAAGATGAAAGGGAGAGTGAGGGAAAAGGTTACGAGATGGGGGAGCGATTCTCATCGCAATCGAAAAACTCAAAAATCACGCATCGGGGTGACAGAAAAAATGGTAGGAGGAAGGAGAAGTGAGTAGGTGGATGGAATTTTAAGCAGGAAAAAAGTCAACAGAAGAGGTAATTGGTACATGTGCGTGTGTGCGTGTGTGTGTGTGTGTGTGTGTGTG